CAACATCCACTATGGCACCATCAACAATGGCAACATCCACTATGGCAACATCCACTATGGTACCATCAACAATGGCAACATCCACTATGGCACCATCAACAATGACAACGTTCACTATGGCACCATCAACAATGGCAACATCCACTATAGCACCATCAACAATGGCAACATCCACTATGGCACCATCAACAATGACAACATTCACTATGGTACCATCAACAATGGCAACATCCACCAAGGTATCATCAACAATGGCATCATCCACAGCGATGCTATCGACAATGGCCTTATCCACTACGGCATCATCTACGACGGTACTATCCACAGCAATGCTATCGAGAATGGCAACATCTACCATAGTACCATCGACAATGACATCATCCACGGCGAGATTATTGACAATGGCAGCATCCATCACAGCACTGTCGACAATGACACCGTTAACCACAGCATCATCTATGGCGGTACCATTCACAGTAGCACCATCTACGATGATGCTATCGACAATGGCAACATCCGCCAAGATAGTATCGACAATTGCACCGTGCACTGCAGTGCCATCGACAGTGGCATCATCCGTTATGACACCATCGACAATTGCATTATCCATGTTGGAAATATCAACTGCCACTTCCATGACTTCATTCATCATTGAAGGTAGAATTGTTGTTGTAAATATCTCGCGATTCTAGTTCTCCTCGTAGGTTGCTCATCACCTATCATCACTTTGACGCCCAGTAATCCACAATCTTGTATGCCTTGGTACAATCAACGTAGTCAATCATTATCAATCAGTTCAATTATTCAACTCAATTGTCCCAAATCACTCTTAACTCGTATACAATGGACAATTTATGCATGTCGACCACTGTGCTCTTTTCAAATCGAAATAGATCCATCTGTGGCAATCATGACACTCAGCGAACTTTTTCTTCCATCAAGATCATTACATTACGGCATCTATATGGTAAAACTTACAGTGACCATGCAAGTCTTACCTCAACTGACCTCATCGGAAGTCATGTACATCAGTATTATTCCTTCACCAATCACAGTCAATCTCATTCGATTCGGTTCATCGATGATTAGTATCGGTCGAAATCAGACATTGATACTTGATCCAGGCTCGTTTTCGATCGATCCAGATGAAGTTATCTTTGATGCCAATGTGAGTCATATCTCAATGTATTATAAGTTTCTTATTTTTGATGTTTTCTTATCATTCATACAGAGTTGGAATTATAGTTACTATTGCCGAATCGGCTCTCAATTGAATTTTATGCCCATCGACAGTCCATTCTGTTTTGGTAATCGATTAGGTAGTCTATATCCTTCATTTATCCTTTTATCGATTTGATGAAATTCATAACTTAGAATGGTACTATGGTTCAAATGGCATACGATCTTCATTGATCATTCAGCCAGGATTGTTGCAAATAAATCAAACCTATCAATTTCGAGCAGATTTGATCAATGCATTAAATGCATCGCGTATCTTTACAGGATATGTACTTGTCAAAGTAGAAGAAAATGATTCAATGATCATTTCAATCAGGTATGATCGAATTCTATCACTGAATGAAAATAAATTTTTTTCTATAAAACGAACAGTTGTGTAATCTCCGAAATATGTCTACTGGTTGATGAATATCATTTGATCAATCCGACTACACAATTAGCATTAACTTCACTCTGGTTGAATTCAGAGGTAAATCAATCTTTCAATGGTCTGATCACCTGGAATATCTATCAAGGTTCAATGAATACAACAATGCAATGGACACTTCTTCCCAATATTAGAACATATGCGTATAACTGGTTCTTCGGTAGGTGATATCTCATGTTTTTGTGAAGTCCTCAACAGTAGACAACTCAAAAAAATATTTAGGAATCGATTCGGAAAATTTTACGGCAACCAAAGATCTATTCATAAATTATCCAAGTGTGAAATATTGGCGTTTTGAAGCGATTTATTCAATGGATTCGATCCATGGCATTGGAGCAATTGATTTTATGATCAATTCACCACCAGAAAATGGTACATGTTCAATTAGTCCTCATAATGGAACAACAACTACATTATTTACGATCATCTGTGAAAATTGGATCGATGCCAACGGTGTCCGAGACTATTCATTTTACAGTAAGTCTATCGATTGTAATCCCAAATTCATCATGTTGTTATTTATACTAGCATGGACAACGAATTCATCGGCATTTGCTATTCTTGGATATACGATTATTCCTACTATTCAAGTACTATTGCCAGCCAATGGAAACGATAAAACAATGATTCATGTCATTGCACGTATTCGAGATATGTATGGATGCATGACTGAAATCGGTCTACCTACCGTTTCTATTGTCTTTGATATGGCAACAACGAACGATTTGATCAATGATGTCGTTACGATCCCAATAAATTTAGTCAATAATACTCAACTCAACAGTAATCCAATAGTTATAATGCTTGCTGGTGGAAATCAAAATCGAGTTAGTCAAGTACTCATTTCACAAGTACAAGCCCTGAATGCCATGAGCTTAAAGATTTTTCAAACGGCCGTTGCAGGTATGATTTGAGAGTTTTGTTCAAAAAGTTCGATAGATAATAAACATGGGTTCAATTTGAAATTTATATGAGTTTGAACATCATGTGATTTGAGACAAAATATTCAGATTTTCTTCTCTAAACATTTATCTCTCTCGATTTTAAAAGTCAATTGAAACTACAAAAATTCTAATTGTTCCCTTTCTCAAAACTCTATCCGTAAATAACATGCACTTTTATATTGTTTTCTAGGCAATATATCTGCAGTGACAATCTCCGTTACATCATTAAATGATGAGCAGCAAGTTCCATCATCCTCTGCAGTCAATATATCTACTATGGTCGAATACAGTCAACAATGGAATCATCTTGCAGAAGTTCGCGATTATCTAATCAGTTTCGTCACGAATCTCATGATAACAACTATCGACAGTATTATTTTACAAAGTTCGATGTTAGCTCAACTAACTGAGATAACATCTCAGTTGACACGAGATACAGCTGTACGAAGTTTTTCTTTTTTTGCTTTATTTGACATTCTTGTACTAAATTCAATATTATGTAGCTCTTGGCATCCACGCGATGTAATGAACTGGCAAATAAACTACACAATATAGCTTCAACAACAGACTATGATAATATCAAATTAGTTGTTGATTCAATTCATCGATGTGCTAGCAATACATTCCAGGTGAGTTCTGTCTAGTCGATTTATTCTTTTTTTTTGATGGTGTGAATTCTTCTAGGCAATCAATCTAGTATTAAACGAACGTGGTATCGTTCTTGATATTGATCGAAAACGAGCTAATATATTGCCAGTTGATTATGATACTGATCTTGAATTATCATGGTCGAATTTCAGTAAAGTTTCCTATTTTGTTTTCTAGTATTCATCATCATCTCCTTTTTCTTTTTATCTTTTCACCTCCAAAGATCTATTCGCCGAGGGTAACGATTTTTCATGGGCAACTATTGAAAAAAATCGCAACATATACTATCAACAACAGGCGGTAGCTAGCTGATGAATTTTGATTGTTTTAATTTCTTTTGCACTATTGATTTATTCAGGCAAAAACTATTAATAGTCAAACGGAGCAAACTTTCTCGATAACAACCAAGGCACTTTTGCTACACTTGAATATTGGTCAATCGACAATAGTGAATGCATCATCAGTGATCTTTGCATTAGAAAGGCTTACTTTTAATACACTTTCGAATAAGATTATTAATCTTAATCATAATACGCGAGTTCGACTTCCTCCACGAATGAACATCGAAGAGGATGGCAATACATCAGTTTTCTATCGGGTAATATTTCAGTCATGTTCAATAAACACTATTGTAAAACAAAGACCTTAATTCTAGTTTATTCTGATACCACTGGCGGCAGCAAGTCACAAATGGGTATCAATAACCAACATGTCTCGATCATTATCGGTGACATTAATCAATAATTTTGGACAGGAGATTTCGATCCAAACGATAAACAACACCATAGAACTGATCATTCCTCGTGATCCGAATCTGTCTGTTCCACCAATGGCACTTCAGAATATTGCATCGGCATCATCATCCGGTAATCTAACTAATAATCAACAATTCAATTTACATTTCATCAATGCAACTTTGCCGACTTCAAATATATCGAAATCAGTTCATTTTGAAATGTTACCAGATGATCAAACTCGAGGCTATATGATTATCTATCGATTCGATACGGTTCCACAACTGAATTCGTCCATAAATCAAACTGATGGTTGGTTCTTATTCTGTCCATCAAGTAAGTCTGAATATTTACAACCAAACAAATAGTCATTGTGACGTCCTCTAAACTTCTCTTTTGTACTGTAATCGAATCGATTTAATCTATGATTGTTTTTCATTCATAGATTTGAACAATGAAGGTCTATGGATCACTTTCATTGACAATCAACAAATGTCAAATCATCAATCGGTTATCTTCGGAGTGCGAGAATTGAATCAAACTGAATTTGATATGTATTGTTTTAATGAAACATTAAATTTACCGCCCATCACAGATCAACCTTACAATTTCACAGCTAATTATTCACTGCGTATATTCATATCGGGTTGCTACTATCGCGACTCAAATGATCAATGGCAATCGGATGGTTTAAATGTAAGTTGCTTATTGCTTTTGAAACAAAATCGAATAAATGTCGTTTGTTTCTGTCAAGGTTGGACCATTGACCAATCATTTTGAGACTCAATGTTTTTCCAGTCATCTTTCAATATTTGCCGGTGGTTTTCTTATTCTTCCAGAGCCAGTCAATTGGAGTTATGTGTTTGCCAATGCAGATTTCATGAAGAACAAGACTATTTATTTAACAATAATTATTTTCATAGTTTCCTATATTATCTTAGTAATTTACGCTCGTCGTAGAGATCAGAAAGATATCAATAAGGTCTGTCGATTTCTTTCACCATTCTTCTTATCTTGTTCATGAATTCTTCTTCTAGCTTGCAGTCACTTTTCTTCATGACAACAATTCAAGTGGAAAATATTTATATCAGCTTATATTCTTTACGGGTGCTCGAATGGGTGCCGGAACAAAATCAAAAGTGATTAATCATAAGAGTATTCTCTACTAGAATAGTTGAATGTTTTAAATTTAGGTTCAATTCAATCTAGTAGGTGCCGAGGACGAGACAGGTACTCGAACATTGATCGATCCAAATCGAGAAATTTTACAACGTGGTTTTGTTGATTCATTCATCATCGCTGTGCCTTCGTAAATTGATTAATTAGATATTCAAATTTTTCTATTTAATCATTTTAGATCTCTTGGTGCTCTACAATATATTCACATCTGGCATGATAATTCTAGTCAAGGCCGATCTGCATCATGGTTTCTGAAATATGTCATTGTATGTAATCTACAAACCATGGAAAAGACCTATTTTATTTGTCAAAATTGGTTAGCAATTGATAAAGATGATGGAATGGTAAGAATATTATTTGATTGCTGTTCGAAGAAGGTGCTGCATGTTTTGTTTCCTTACAGATTGAACGTTACTTACCGACAGCTGGTGAACTACAAACACATGATATAGCATATATTTTTGCTAAGAAAGCCTATTATAATATGTCCGATGAACATTTGTGGTTTTCAATCTTTAGTCGACCACCAGCCAGCCATTTTACTCGAGTGCAACGATGCACTTGTTGCTTTCTTCTACTCTTTACAGCTATGCTGCTGGGAATTCTCTATTACGATCAAGCTCAGCAAGCAAAAAATACCATATCTGGTGGTTTTCATCTTGGTCCATTGTACATCACACGAGAACAGGTTCATCACATAATAAATTGCATGCATCCATTCATTTAATTTGGCTTTTTGTTGTTTGAATAGATCGTGATCGGATTTATTGTCGATATTTTGTGTTTTGTTCCGAGTCTATTGTTTGTGCAATTTTTTCGACGTATTCGCCCGCGTGGTCTACATGGGCAACTTTCACCTGTTCTACAAACATTATGGAACATTGGCATGATCGATCGTAGGATTTCTCTGACTAATATGATTGAAGCATTGGCTAAGATGAAGAAGAAAAAGAAATATATGTTTCCATGGTGGTGTTTGATCATTGCCTATATTGCATCATTTCTTTTCGTTTTTATGTGTGCTTTTTTCATCATCGCACGTGGTATTCAATTTGGTGATATTAAAACTCAACAATGGTTAACATCACTTGTCACTGGCTTTTTCTCATCGATTCTCTTCTCTCAACCGATCAAAATTGTTTGTCTAGTAGCTTTCCTTGCTTTCTGTAGTCGAAAATCAATAGATGATGATCAAGAAGCTGCTGGTTATATTGACAAGGATGAAAGCATCTATTTGAATCGTGCTAAAACAGAAGGAGAATATACACATCATACAGTCAAGGTCTGTTCGATTTTTCAATTAGTGACTATTTGTTTATTTCTATTGTTGAAAGGAACGCGATTCGTTCGATGTTTCACGACGTACTCAAGTCAATAGATTGAATGAAGCTCAAAGAAACCGCGCGCGCACTATTCGTCTTCGTGACATTGCCATGTGGAAATTGACTCGACAACTAACCTATCAAATCTTTTTTATTTTTATTCTTTTTGTTGTCACTTATCTTAATCGAGATTCGAATTGTTTTGCTCAAGCTAAGCATATGCGCTACTACTTTCTCAATATTGGTCATGGAACCTATGACTATACTAAAGTAAGTGTATATGTTCAATTTTCAAAATTGTTTCTTAACTAGCTACAATCGAATATCGAAAACATATAGACTTTCCATCAATGAAAACGACGAAAGATATTTTCATCACTGATTCTAACACCAATCAATCACATCATGTCAATGATTGTCCTAGAAGAGATCATATGATACCACATGCTTTTGCAATAAGATGATTATAATGGAAACATAAGAAACAAAATAGTGATTAGGTAGAATTTGAAGATTCAACTCATTCAAAAGGAAAAATGCAGCGAATACATTTGTCTACTACATCTCGAATAGCCAAGACAATGTAGAAACCATGAAAAAATTCAATCATCTGGTTTTTATTCGATATAGCAACTAGACAATGTCGAATAAAACTTATTGTGGTTGAGAAAAAAGCTGTTTATGTAATGCCTGTGAAATCAAAATGTGAAACACGAGGTGGCGCTTGCTGCTAATCACAGAGAGATCATTTTATTCTATATATCTTGGAACATATTTCTTCACTCTGTTTTTATTTTATCTTCCAGAAGTGTAATATAAAAGTAGTAACGAGACATTCTTGAAATACTATCTTTGATCGCAAATCAATAGCATAACTCACAGTCTATGGGGCGAGAGAAGTAGGTTCGAATTTTCACCCTATCGATTTTGAATTTCCATGCAGATAAAGCACTATTACAATTGACGAGTTTCGGGTCGATGACAGAAAAATTAGTGAAAAGCATTACTGATATTCAAATCAATCGAAACAAGAAAACTATCAAAGACTATCTGAACTAAGCATATTGAAAACATGATTTTTTTCACAAGGGACATGATACACTTCTCAGTAGACTCATTGTTAATCTTTTTTCCGATGAAAATAAGCAATTTTCATTAGGTATCCACTGTCGCTGATTATTGGCAATGGTTACAAAATAGTTTTGTTTCCAATATTCGAGCACAACAATGGTACAATGGTGATCCACCAAGGAATTTGAATGGTTTTATTAACGATAAAAACAATCGATTAATTGGATGGGTAGTAATGCGTCAATTGCGTGTTAGACCAGGTTTGTCTTTGACTGATTTATTCACTATATAGGTAAAGTTTGATTAGAATATGATTGTCGAATACCTGACATGTTTCGTGGTACTGTCCGATGGTGTTCAAGTGATTATAAGATTTGGACAGCAGATAGACGTTCGTTTCAACCGGGTTGGACATTAAACGCGAGCAATATTTCCTACAGTCAATCAATTCAAAATGCATTTAAGTATCGACCAAGTAATGAAATCGATTCTTATAGTCACATGACTGATCATGCCTTTTACGATGGTGGAGGATATATCTATGAATTTCGTGGTCGTTTAAATGATATAAAAAAGAATCTTACTGTTCTTCAACAACTATCATGGATTGATCGATTGACACGTGCTATTTTTATTCAATTTAGTTTGTACAATCCAAATGCAGAGCTCTTTACATCGGCAATAATAACTGTCGAATTTCTAGTTACCAGTGGTTTAATTTCAAGTTCTCGTTTTGATCCATTTCGGTTTCACAATAATCTAAAAGGTTTTTCATCCGTATTTCATTTGATTTGTGCTACAATATTTCTTGTTCTTATTATCTATTTGACTCTTACGGAGATTCAATCGTTGATAAGAAAAAAACAAGCCTATTTTCGTGTATTTTGGTTTTATATTGAATGGAGTATCATTGGATGTTCATGGACAAGCGTTGGTCTAGTTATATGGCGTTATCGAGAAATGTCTCGTATTGGTATTCTCTTTCATAAGACAAATGGCATGCAATATCTCAATTTAGAATTGGTGGCTTCAGTTGATAATTATTTAACATGTCTTCTCGGCTTATGTTGTTATCTTGCCATGATTAAACTTATCGGTTTTTTTCGTTTTAATCGACGTCTCTCAGTCTTTAATCGTACTCTTCAATATGCTGCAAAAGATCTTCTATATTTTTCATTACAATTCTCTATTATTGCATTTGCTTTTATTGCTTTATTTTATTTGCTCTTCACAGCTGCAGTTCAATCATGTTCAACTCTTCTACTTACTACTCAAATGTTGTTTGAAACGTTTTTACTCAAATTCAACACAGCTGAATTACAAGCGGCACACTCTTTTTTGGGCCCATTTACATTTGCTCTATTTATATTTTTACTTGTTTTCATTGGTTATACTATGTTTGTTTCTTTGATCATTGATGCGTTTCATAGAGCCTTACACGAAGATAACTCGAATGACAATAATGAAGAATTGATTGCGTTTGTTTTGTCTAAGTTCAAACGATGGATATGTAAGTGTAAAATATTTAATATATTCGAAATAATGTTTTTACAATCTCATTAAGGTTTGTGCCAATCTAGCATTGAAGAACATGATGTACAAACGCATTTGGAATATGAAGAGCAGGTTCATCGATTTCCTGAAAGAATTGATCAACTTCTTGCAGCTTTAGAACGAGTAGGTTCATATTAACTTTATTCAATTCGATATATTCATTGTTTTTCCATTTATGTAGCTTTTTATCGATCGTCTTCAAGCAAAACCCCTATCACAATCATGAGTGTTTTCTTGAAGAATGAAAAACATATGATATGGGACTGTAAATACAGTGACTCAACAGTTGAACTTAATCTATGTGCATTATTTTTCGTACTTTCTTATAATAACATGACATTCATTTGTGAAAGGCAGCTTGTTGTTTGATGTCTGTGCGTTATATAAAATACCACTCTCATCGATGTTGTTAATAAATGTTTTGAAAATGAAATTCCATTGAATATGTTAGTGAAGTTTTGATAGAATAAGTATGATGACTCCTAGTATCGCATTATGCTCAATGAATAGGAATCGAATATTTTTCTGAGAAGAACCTGGAGTAGAAATGGAATATTCGACGGTATGGGTGTCGGTGTAATGATTCAATGAAGACTTGATTCACATCCATACGCATACCTATTCTTTAGTTATCACGAGTAGATTTCAACAAACTTTTGGCCAGATGATATGTCACTATTGTTATGAAAAACAGTCAATCATGTTGAAAATCTATTCAGCACTTTTTCATCAAACACGAGGTATTCTATATCGAAGAGTCATCTTATATTGTTCAATCGTGCAACAAATGTATCGATTCATATACAATAAATGTTGTAGTTTTTGTAGCTGGATAGAGAATAAGATGACCACGATGAAAACGGACGTTATAGATGAAAAATTTTAACCAATAGGAGAAGATTGTATCTTGTCGTCTATATTGATTTCGAAATATAGCCGTGAGTCATCTGAAAGACAGCGCGATAGAATATGACCTTATTGGTCGGTAATGCAATTGTATAAGTCCTATAGGCACTATCGATTTCTATCCATCAAGTAAGATTCTTTGTCATAGATATTGTTTTTGAATCTGACAATCTATGGAAAAAAGAAAAATGGAGTGTGGACGTTGTATTTCTTACAATTGAATAGCTCTGTGAATATATTTGTCGATGCTTCATATGCTAACGTTTATCTAACTTTGCGGTACTGCCATCTTTTCAAACATTGCTTTTGAATTTTACATGTTCATTCCCTTTTCACGGATTGAGAAAAAATAACAAATCGCTTTTTCATCGACAACTGTGCAGTGACCAGCGTACTAACTACGTTGAATCAAAAGAGAGAAGAGCCGCAAACTACTATTTCTCACAATGGAGCAAGTAGCAGGTAAGGTGATGGTCACTGAGGATGATAACTCGAGATTGCTTCCTCTGATCCAAATGTGTCAAAACATCGAAAATATTCATGTGGTTTAGTATCATGCCTTGTGTATCGATGACATTGATGTTATCATAAAAGAGTGAACGTATGAGATTCGAAAGAAATGCTTATTGTACTGAGTCAGTCGACTGGCCTCTTTGTTGCTGCTGACCAGTGCCTGAGTTATATCAATTTCACAAATAGTAATGGGTATATTATCTTGAGTGTTTGTTTTTTATGTATTACCTCTTCTGGCCGGTATACACGCTTGTCAACAACTGATATAGGTACTACTTTTTTTTTGAAGACGGCAATAACTCTACATTATTATCTTTTCAATATAAAAAAATTGTTCAGATTCATACGAAACAGAAATATTCACAATTACCTATCACTAAGAAGATGGATATTACCGAAAAGCAGATATTCCAATTTACCGTGCTTGAACTAACGGCAGTAGTAACGAGAGATTTGTCCAAATCCATAACCACTATAGTCGTATTTTTTCTTCACTAGGTGTTGCTCAATATATTGCAACGCATGACACATGATGATGACGTTAAAGAATACTTTATTGACATGTGCAGAAAATATTATTTTCATAATAAATATCACGTCATAATGGTGGAACGTTTTCGCACCACATTCAAGCCGAGGATACTATTCAATGATATACGAGCAATTCCTTTCTCTTTCATCTTTTGAATCGAATATTGCAAACCGACAATCCGGAATTGTTTCTCTCATCTAGACTCTGCTTTATCTGTTTATGCAATGTATTGAAAAATAAAAACTACTATCGAGGGCAACCCATGTAGAAAAAGTGAATCAAAATCACTGTTAAGTACTTTTAATATTAATAAAGTAAAATAAAGTAACTTTTCTTACTACTTTTCACTTTTTATTGTATTTTCTCATACTTTTCCACTTTTGAAAGTACTAAAAAGTTACTTTGGCTACATTTTTTTTACATGGGAAAACTGACACTATTTTGTGATCAAAAAGTGTCAATAGGCAAAATTAAATCTCTTTGAAAAAATATCGTTAATTTCATCACGACAAATGGTTTTCTATCTACTTCGTTCGATATTGAAATAGCGGTTGTGTTTGCTAAACATGAAGTACCGTATAGCAAACCATCCTGCTTTGTTTTATTGGAAATTCGAGCTGCAGTATCAGTCAAATCAGCAGTCTTTACGTCGATTGAAACTGAAAGTAACTTTATTGGAGAAAGAGAAGTCCTTTCTAGTTCGAACACCATCTTTTGAATCGACTCAATTGGTTTTAATGATCGCTTTCAAATTATGGAGAATGACAATGACAACATTTACAAGAGAGAAATAACTGACTTTTTCATCAATTGTAAATAAAGAGATCATTTATTCAAAAAAGATCTAATTTTGAACATTTTATGCCTTGGTTTTAAATTTTGCTGACAATTTAAGTTTGTAAGTAGAATTTGGTTGCTAAAAAAAGATGATTCATACATTTAAAGAATAAATGATTGATTTTTTTCAATTTAAAGTTGACAGAAAATCAAAAAGTCACGTAGTTTGTCCTCAAAATCCAGAGCTGTAGAAAACAACTATCAACAAGTGAGTGCAGCTGTTACTGCCAATGTGACAAGAGAAAACTTCTTGATCGCTTCACATTAACAACAGCGTTACAAAAGACATTTTCTATATCTAATCAATATGTTCAATCGAAAAGAATAAAAATGATATGAAATTGCTCTTGGATTATTTTCCTAGAACGATTATTCATAGCAAACCTTTATTGACTTTTTCGTCCGTCGAGTGTGGAAAAAAGGAAAGAAGAATCATACCTACATTGATCCTGATTTTAGTCTATCTGTTGAACAACTAGATTATAAATTCAAGTTCTCCATAAAAATACCTAGCTGTTTTCAACTATCTAAAGAAAGAATAGAAAAGATTCATGTTTGAGTTAATAACTCTAGGTGAAATATGAAAAAACTAGTGTTCTACAAGATGACAGAATATCAAAAAATTAATTCGGATGGAAAAGTTTTTGACGATTTAAAATATGGTTTCCTACATAACTGAGTCTGAAAGTGTATATTAGCTGCTATCGTGTGAATACTCAAATTTAGCACTACAAGTGACATATAATCTACTATGTTCCAAGTCTCTAGCGATGTGACAGTTAGATATAGTTCCTTGTTAGACAATATTTCAGTTGGAAGGATAAAATCAATTCATATTTTTTTATCAGTATGACGATTTCAAAACAACTCACGTAGTATATGTAGAGAATGAGGAAGAAGTAATCATGTTATGATATATGGATCAACACAGACAGAATTATAGTTCGAAAAATCTGTTTACTGTATTATAAACACCAAAAACACATACTTCCACAAGGATTTATACTAAACTGTTTCTCTGTCGAATATTTATATATATTTACTTGATTCTTTTTTTTTTGTTTGAATGTCTTCATTCTCATTCATTTTCTTAGAATAATAAGTAATATTCCAATGGAAAAGAAGTTCATCTTTCGACAAAATTTTGTCTGTGTATGGTATTCAGCGACTGTACGTCTCTTATTATCTGAACAAGAAAATCGAAAGTAAAAGTCATATTCTTTCGAAAGCAGAAAAGTTCACATTTTTCGCCACTATCTTTTGTACGGACCTGTAATTGATGATCAAACGGGAAACAAAATGTTCAAATAAACTAGTTCTATAAAAGATTTTCGTTGTATTACTTCAAGAACGATTTTTTCTTCTTGGGTTTACATCAAATTTTTGACTGTTTTTTTTTATTAAAAGTGAATCTTACAGAATTGATTCAATTCCTTTATTCGATGATGATTCATCTTTTTCAACTTGGAGTTTCCATTAAATAAATACATCAATTACGAATAAAATACTTTTACGGAAAAAAACATTAAGCCTGAAATTTTAATGTTAACATAATATATGATTGTATAATAATTTTATTTTACAAGACAATGAAGTCAATATGACCCATATTATGATTTTAATTAATTGTAAAGTACACAATACAGAAAAAAATTCAGTGAGAAGCATCTGTTTTGGATGTTTTTTGATAATTATCAAAGGATCTTTTTACTTATTCATTTGGTGGTAAAGTATTTGCAATAAAATGAATTAATATATGCTGAAAACAATCAAATATTGATCGTTACTTTCTGTAATTTTAAAGTAAAAACGTTTATAAATATTTTTTTTACGAAAACAATCATGTTGATCGATTGTAAATGTTTATTGGATCATTCTACAACAAAATTTCCTTGTATTTGATCTTGTTCATCACTACTCAGTTTTACTATTTTTATTAATATGTATGTTTCCTAAATTTTTAACGGTTAATCAAATAAAACAAATTGTTTTTCTTCTGTATTAAATGCCGAACATGATCATAGTTTTCAAATCACAATGACAAAAGATTAAAATACTTTACTCTGGATAGAATCAAGCAACATCAAAAGTACGTTGAGCTACTCTTTATTATCTACGTTTAAATTAGAACACACAATTGTCCTCTAATCCCAATAGAAAAAGGAAAAAAGTCATTGACATTGTATATTCTTTTTCATTTATGAGAAGCCTTATTATTATATTTCTGTCCGTTCATATTTTTATTAATTTATATTTTTGTCTATAAAAATAAATCTGGTTAACATTGCAGCATTGTATTTATCGCAAAAAATTAAGCAATATAATGTTTCTTTTTTGTTTTCGTACATATAATATACATATGATCATAATAAACAACCAAATATCAACATTATTTTTACATAACTTATTGATAATATCCTTCTAATCAATGTTGTTCAGAAATGACATAATGTAAAAGAAATAGACAATTAAAAATCCTATGAGTAAAAAGAATAGGGCAGTAATTGAGATGTTGCAGACAAGAGTGATTTTTGACATTCTTCTGGCACCTAAGATATCTCCACTTTCTTTTCGTTGTCTCGTTTTTAATGATAACACTACAGTAATCAGACCTATCATAGCACCTAAGATTACATTGACCAATGACCAAGACATATAATCTCGAATACGAACTGTTTCCAAATGAATATAATCATCAGGAACTATAGCACTTTGATATGCTTCTGAAGTCTTTGTAATATCAACTGTAGGTGGTGAATATAAAGGAGGATTCAATGGTGGTGTCATTGCATAAGGTGGTGGTGGTCCGTGTATTGGATATGTAGATAGTGATATTAGTTGCATAGGTAATGTTGGTAGATCACAGGTATCAGCTCTACGTTCATCAGGATTGTTCATGTTACTGTGCATTGCTGAACTATAATAATTATAAAAAGTCTCAATTTCCTTTTTATGACGAATATATTGTTTTCAAATCGACAGTACCAAAAACAATTGTTAAATACAATAGTGCGAAGCTTTTCCACTCTATTTATCTATCACAATGTATTACGTTATGACAATAATAGAAAAAGAACGTGTTAGACATCAATAATCTTGATAAATCTTTTATTTACGTGTCATCCAACATCTAGATTTTCACTGACACTTATATTCTTGTGGATATTTGATGAATAAGATATATTTACACTTAATAATTTTGCTTTGTTCAACGGCAGAGAAAAAAAAAATAGTCCTACTTATACTAATATTGAAAGATAGAAAATAGATGACACAGAAAAAACCGGTCATGACTAAAAGAGTAAAAAGAAAGTTAATAAAGAAAGAGGAAAATATGTCTGACATGTTTGATAAATAACGTGTGACATAGAATTTAAATTTGTTAAACTGCTAACTTTCATCCAAATGATGAACTCTAAAATCATATTCAGTTTAATAATTTTCCTAATATTTTCTGTTCGATTAATAAATCTTGTTTATTAAAGCACGCTTTCTATGACGTCTCAACACAAAAATAACTTTAATAATTTATTTCTGCACTGTGATATTACGATAATAATAATGAGATATTGCATCGAAACCTGACTTTTACGTCAATTGACATATCTTCAAAGACAAAGGTCATAAAGTCACATAGAAAGAATTAAAGAAAAAAAAAATTTCTGTTGAGTAGCTTCGCCACTTGCAAGTAAACTTTCTTTTACACTCATATTTCATTTACATTTATTTGTACATTACTTTATTAATACATCGCGACTAACAATTAGAACATGAATAGAGTTGTCCTAGTTAAATTGAACCATAATATTAAATTTGCATTAAATTATTATGCTTGTTATTCTTTAATGGCTAGTGTGAACGTTTCTAGGCAAAATACTTGTTTACTTATTGATTTGATTAAATGAGAACGCGAGAAACAGTCGAATGAAAATTGGACGATGCGTAAAATAGTGGAGAAATTTATAATAAAAGAACAAAAACTGTTTTTAATAGACGTTTCAACTCAGAAGAATAAGCTAAACCGATACGAAAAAAAAGATGGAAGGCCGTATTAGCGAATAACAAATTACTATAAAGAAGCATATGTTTCTCTGATACATGCAGCATATGAACTAAAATGGTTTTCCAAAAAAACTAAAATCTTTAGATCCACAGGTTTTTATGAAATTATCTCAAAATTAATTCTAGTAGAAAACTAAAACTAACTACAAGTATTTTGAGGGTGTGGCTGTTGGTATCAGTGTATGGAGAGCCTAAGCAGACCCACACCGACATCCAAACTCAGACATAAATCTATGTTACACTCACACTCACCCATTTATTGTCAATTTCTCAGTCGCTTAAAAGTAAATAGCTTGAAAAATGGCTATGTCCACTCTGCTTTTACATATTACTACGACCAAAATTAGAATGAGTATTGGTAATTTATGAACTGATATTGTTTCTTTTTTTCATACAGCTGAAAGCTGTTGTTTTTTATTATCATTTTCTTAACTATGTTTCTCATTTGTCAAGTTTTGTATTGATTAGTTTTTGCGTCGACTAATGTTCATAGATCCAATAAAAAAAAAAAAGATTATACAATAGGACACAATTATATAGACTAGTCTAAGTTCGAAGTTCAATAAGTTATTGATATTGTCCATTGGATAATTTAGATCCATTGAATATATGAATTTATGAAATGAAATTTCATGTAATGCTCAGAATGAATTTCTACATCTTAATAGTTTCCATTTGATGACTCTACTCCTTTTGTTATTATCATATGGTTTAGTAAATTTAAAATTGTGTCTAGATGCTCTGATATGCTCGACAATATTACAAATTACAGAATTATATGTCTTTACATTGACCTAGATGTTGAGTTATTCTTTTTTCAACATCTTTGTCTGTTTGATCAGTATAAATCTTGTCACACTCATCCTGTTTTATTTATAAACTACTTCAATCTTTTTAATCACATCACATTCGATCTTGTCTTTAAAGCTATCGCCAATCGTTCTGTTCTTGTTAAAAAGAATTCTGCCCTTCAAATGAAAAAATTATCTAAAGATGCGCCTGAGCTTACGACTAAATATAAAAGATTTATGACCTATATAACTTAGTACTGTTTTTGTCCTTTCATTATTATTATTTGAATTAATATTTTTATTTCTATTAGATTGTTGACTTTTTATTTTTATTCTCTTTGCATATCCTACTTTTTATTGTCTTTTCTATCGCATGCTTTGAATAATCATTTTTAATCAACACGTTTTTCAAATAATTAATCTTCAAGTTCAAAAGACATTATTTGAACAAATCCTATATGCTGTTACCATTAATGATTTAATAAGGTCAATTTTTTTGTATTTAGTTAAATATATGTTCCATTTCATATTTTAAATGATATTGAATTATTTTTTTTTTAAATTGATGTTTCAAATACATTTCTTACTTTTTACATCTTTACATCGAGATATGGGATCATATTATTATTAGTTTTAACTATACAGGAAACTTAATATTTATATATAATTAACTAAAACAATCTAATATTTTTCAAGTATGCTCTTTTGGTCCAACTATAATCTCAAATACATTATCTACATAGGGCAATCATTTCTTTATTTTAAATTCTTGGTTCTATGTATATAATTTTCTAATTTCTTGAAAAATATATCCACTAAGATAGTAATAAACTAAAAGTTAAGTGAACGATGTATATATATATATGAAACTTTTTATTTGTTTGTTTGTCAACCATCGACACTACAGGATGGCCCAAAAGTCACGCACCAAACAAAAAATTGTATATCTCCATTAAGGCTTGAGTAAACGAGCTGATTTTTTTATCAATGATAGAGATATGTACAAGCTTTATATCCATAAAGACATGTCTAAGGAGACCCTTTGCTAAGTATCACTATCGACCTCAACAAGAAAATGATACTTTCTCACAGATAGGAAAAGAAAACAATATACTTAACAAAGGTTTCCACTAGCCTTGTTTGTATGGATTTGGAATGTAAACATGCCTCCATACTTGGTAAAAAAATCAGCTCGTTTGCCCGAGCCGTAATGGAAATATTTAATTTTCTTTCCAATAAAGTGACTCTTGCACTATCCTGAATATTGTTCTTTTCCTACTTGTGTAGAAGTAAAAATTTTTATATTGAGATCAATAGTGATACTTAGCAAAGGGTCTCCTTAGACATGTCTTTATGGATATAAAGCTTGTACATACCTCTATCACTGATAAAAAAATCAGCTCGTTTGCTCAAGCCTTAATGGAGATATTCAATTTTTTGTTTGGTGCGTGACTTTTGGGCCACCCTGTAGTTTATGATATAATTTTAGAAATATTGGTACGGTACAGCTTTTTTCATTTATGTGATTCAATAGCATTGAATAAATGTAAGATTTCTATGTTATTTGTTTATTCATTTGAATTGCATTTATTTATGTTTCTTGCTATGAAACAAGTAAGAATGTCTATCATGTGTCACAAGCTCTAGTTTCCAGTATTAAACGCTAAATAAATCTACATTTGTGGATAAGTAAACAGTTAGTCTATTTTGGTAACCAAATATGAATTTTTTATTTAGGAACCTTTTTATTGTAATATACACTATATATAGCATCATTGAATATTATACTACATTTCTTACTATACTGTATCAATCTGATGATCCGATCATGGTGTAAGAACACATCCCATGCGATGATATGTATTGTATAATTACCACTATATTTATAATTAGAGGATATAGTTCTTTTCCAGATCCACGATAACGTGGCATTCACATTCTTTGATGTACGCTGTTAATTAGATTAATTAATGTATAAGATGGTGTTGATCTGAAGAAAAACCATATCTTCTAATTATAAATATAAAAATGTTTTTTTTTACAGTATGTATCATTGCACGGGATGTCTTCTTACATCGTAATCTGGTCACCAGAACGATACAATATGATAAGAGACTTGAGATGATGTATAGTATATCTTACAATGAAAAGATCCATAAATTAAAATTTCTATTTGGTCACCAAAATAGACTAAGTGTTTACTTATCCACAAATGTGGATTTATTTAAGCAATTGATTCTGGATAGCAGAATCTGTAACAAATGGTAACCCTTCCTCAAATAAACATTTTTTTCCCGAACTTCTTCTCATGTCAATTGAACAAAACGCAAACTATTTACTAATTATTGCAATCAGACCAATGGTTCGATGTCCACATCATAAAATAAATTGTTGAGCTATATGTTTAATTCACCAGAAAAAGGGTGAAGCGATTAATTTATTACTTATGAATAGTGCATTTATCTTTGCATAGAATCATTGAACATAGACTAAAACAATCCTTTTATCAAAATATCAATAGGGAAGTTTTCTTATTTATATGTATTGACGAGATTTTCGCAAATCATTAACTTAACAAATCTATTAGTGATGTATTCTTCTGATTTCAAAGTTTCAAAAGAATACTTCCATATCAACTAGATTCTAAAATAATGTACCATGCATATAATATTAATAATCGAGTGACAAGTTTTTTTTAATCTTTTCTATTCATTATACTTATGAAGTAAATAAAATGATTAATCTTGTCATATATATATAGAATGTCAGTTACTCTTTATTGAAGTCGTTTAGTTCACCAATGAAATAAATCAAAATTTATTGTTTAGCATAATCAAAGCATATTTATGCTTTTTTTTTTCTTTAATTATAAAAGTTTAACTACTGTTAGTGTCAGAATTAATGAGAGATGGCTGTAAACTCAATAACTCGATAAGAGCAATAGTTATCCATCCTCCATCTTCAGCAATTCAAAGAGGAGAGTCCTAGACACATTTTTAGTTGATACTATGTAGAACAAAATTATTTTAAAACTCATAATCTCAGCAAAACATTCAAAAATAAAATCCACGAATATATTATTTCTTTTCGATGTCTCAATATTAGGCAAACAAAATAATGTATCTATTCAGTGAAATCTTATAGAATTCTGCTGATTGTCAGAAAATTAGCTGACTTTTTATTAAAATCTCTTTGAAATGAAGTACTGTTTTTATGCATGTTTTTTGAATGTTTCGAAAAGTTGATGAGTTTTAAAATAATTTTGTCTTATATGGTATCAAACAAAAAGACATCTGGAATCCTTCTATTTTGAATGCTGAAAACCACAGATCGCTAATTGCTATTATTATCGAGTTATTAAGATTATACTCACTTACTTTCTACTCGACAATTATAAATAATTGATGCATTGAAATGAAAAATGTTCCTATATTGACGGATCTTCTCTTTCTAACTCTTTGTATAAATATAAAATGTGTTGATCAATTGATTATTCATTTTATTCAAGGAGTAGCATCTGTTATTCTTACAACTGAATCTATAACTGTTTTCATTTAGTTTAATTATCGCGCAAGTTAAAAGAAAAAAACGAGAATAGCATCTCATTTTGTAGACTGCTTTGTGTTTTAATTCTCTTAAATGTTAAAAGTAAAAAGAAGGACGAGTTTTCTATATAAATAAACAAAACATTCTACTGTGTGTTAAACAATGATTGACATCAATTCAATATCGATTATTTGCATCTCGCGTTTCATCAAATATTGTTCCAATGTTTGATTGTCAAGATGATCATAACACAAAAGGACAATGTGCGATGTATATATTTAGAAAAATAGATATGACACTAACCATAATATACGTGCTTATTATCTTCATTTTGAGTTTCAATACAATACTTCACACAGCTATTAATTTAGATAAAGTCTATAATGATGTCTAATTTGGCAACTTATTCATTAGTTTTTACTAGTATTTATTTAATCATTTGGTAGATTTATTGAGTATAAAATGTTGTCATCAGAATTTGAATACGACACGTTCCCAACGCAAGTTAGTGATTTATTCAACCTTGCTCAGTTTGTTTTTTTATTAAGTGCAATACTTGACAGAAAATATTTAACATGCATTTTTCTTTCTTGACGCACACAATAACGTTTGTTATGTTTGTTGTGCATTAATAGGTGGTTGAGTTTGTTAGAATCTTTCGTCAGAGTATATATATATTATTTTCGTTGTATTTAATAATCACTCGTATAGTTAAATCAGGATCTAAAGTAATTTTTCAGCAGACAAAAAAAAGGAGCGTCAATTGAATAAACAATGTATGTTTAATTATCTTAAATTATGAAGTTCTCATATAAGAAGAAAAAATACACGGTTGCTACATAAGTGTTAGCATTATGATGAATATTCAAGTTTGAATCAATATAAAAAATGAATACAGAATAAGAAAAATGTTTATATTTTAAAGAGAAAGAAAAAAGGGAAAATAGAAGGTATTAAGTAATCTGAAAGATTACTTTGATGCAAATAAAGTATCGATTGTTTTTTTAATGCTGCACGAACTATAAAGTAGTCAAAATAATTTTTCTTCTAACAGTTTAACAAGAACAAATATGAATGCAATGAATGTAAAAACAAAAATGTATCGTATACCTTTGCCGCTATATTGGGAAAAATATTGGCATCCATGGCCCATAGGAATATTAGCTACATTTCAATTAATTATGGCATTTACAACTATTAGTATGGAAATTGGTAATGCAGTCGTAGACTTATTTAGAGCTAATGTTTATTCAGGTTTTTGGTCGTTTCCATTTATGATTTCAGCAACAATTGCTACATATGCATGTGGTAAGATAAATGAATTCTTTGATCACAAAATATGATTGGTAATTTAGTTTGTGCAACAAAGACACAAACAAAAGCAATCGTTGCATTGATTCTTCAAATAATATCAATGTTAGTCATGCTTGTTGTCATAGGTTTTTTAATAACTTTTGTTGCTACTAATTTTACATTATGTTTGGGATTTCAATGTTTTCAAACATCATCGTCAACTTACACTACTCTTAAACAAGCTTTTATTGTATGTGAACTTGTTTTTTCAATTATTTATACTATACTTTCAATAATCTATATAATTCTTTTTATAAAATGTTATAACAAAATATCGCGTATTCATCCCATAGTTCATTCTTTACCTGTATCAAGCGGTATTAGTAATAAAACATTAACAAACTTTTCACGTTCACGTCAATCTGGATCAGTATCAACTATCAGTAATAATCGATCTAATATAAATGAACAAGTACGTCTTGTATCTTCAACGTATGCATATAATGGTGCACAAAAAGTATGTCCAAATTGTAAACATGTTTCATCTTATATGCCACAAGAAAATATTATTGAATGTCCAAAATGTGGATATCAATCAAATTTAGTTGAACATGCACAACAATATTAAAGAAAAACAAAATAGTTATTATTATTATTATTATTGTTTTTAAAAATACACACAAACAAATACGTAAATGTATACAAATATATATATATATTGTTTTTTTATTATGGACGTCGTGTACCACGCCATAGTTTGGTTTTTTGTTGTACAGTAGTACGAAAAAGTGGTACAACAACAAGAAGACCTAATGTTGATATAATTGTTAGAAGAAGAAAAATACAAAAAAGAATTTTATCAATTTTTGTTGCTATAACACGCCAATCATTTGTTATTTTTTGATCATGTTCAAGTTCTTTTTGTTTATGTAATAGAATATGTAATGTATCTTGAATTTCATCATGTATTGTTGCAACTGAACTTGAACGTGACATTGATCGATCTTTTAGATGAATTTCTTCAGGAAATAAACGTGTTGAACGTTTACGTTTAGTTTCTTCTAATAACTGTTGTTGTTGCTGTTGTTGTAATAATTTTTGTTGTTCTGGTATATCATCATTATCAATTTCGATTGAATTTGCCTTTAAAATAGAAATATTTTTAAAGATATTCTTTTTTCTTGGTTTTTATCTATGCAAAAAAAAATTTCTATTTTCAACTATGTGACTTATCTAAAATTAAATAATATTTCGCTTATCTCTGGAGAATATTTTTTTCTTTTCCGATAGAATAAGGTTTTTGTACTATAAAATAATTTTTCTTTCATTAAAAGTAAATTATGAAGAACAAAATGTTAATACGACATATATATAATTACATACATCGTCTTCGTATAATAATAGAAAAGATAATATATAAAAATATATCTTTCTATGTTTTAATACACTATGAAGTTTTTCTTATAAGCATTATATGAAAATATTTTAATGAATGTAGTTAAATAATTAAAAAAAACTATTTTCAAATAAATTTCATTTAAAATTATATTTTTTAGAGTTCAAAACATAAAATATTTCTTTTATTGTTTGTTTTTTAAGAAATTATTCTATAAGATTTACTAACCTCAGTTGTTATGGTTGGTGTTTTAATATTAGTTTCATTAGTATTCATATAAGATAATAAAATTCCGTTAGTTGTTGAATAATTTTTTGTATTTTGATTTTGATTTTGATTTTTATCAAAAAAATTTATTCTAGGTCGTAATTCTCCTTTATTTTTATATATTTTAAATCGTTTTGATCTTCCCATTGTTCGAACAACATTTGCTACTGATATACTTAATAATTGTTGAAGCCAAAATGGTATTTCATTTTTTTTCGGACCACGATAATGAAGATTAAGAACTAAGACTGTCATCATTACTGATACACTTGTCATAGCCATAACAGCAGTTAAATATAAACCTTAAATGAAAATTTAGAAAAAAAAAAAAAAAAACTTAAAATCTCAAAATTCTTCAACTCACTTATTAAGGGAATGTGTTCACTTGTTTCTGGCATACTTTCAGCAATAGCTAACATAAATACACTAAATGCAAGTAATACTGTTATACCAAGTGCAATTTTTTCACCTGATTCCGGTGGTAAACAAAAAACAAGTAACGTTAAAATAGATAACATAACACAAGGAAAAACAACTGAATATAAATAATATAGAATACGTCGTCGTATACGAACATAAAATGTTATATCTGGAAATGGTTCTGGACAACATGCATATCTTACAATATTTACTTGATATGATGTATCAACTAAATCCCATTCACCATTTGGAACATAATTTGATAATTCAATAGCATGAAAACGTTGTTCAATTGATACTTGATAACCATTATAGGTCCAACTACCAAATTTTAATTTACATTCTTGTTCATCATATGGAAAATAGGTTACATCAATTTGACATGTACTCTTTAATCGTGTTGGTATAGGCCAAAATACACTACCATTATGAATAAGCATAGCATTTGCTTGCATTGTATTACTATTGGAAAATTCATCAGCATTCTAGAATATTTTTGTCATCGAAATAATTTTTCAAAGAAATTTTCTTATCTTACATTATATAGAACAATATCAGGTAACCAAATAAGTTTTGATGGAAGATTAAGACGACGAATACCATTAAAATCAGCTGGATTCCATTGAAGAAATTCATCAGACCTATATAAGAAAAATATAGATTATGACAAATAATAAATTTATCTTAAATATTTATACCATTCTTGATCTAACCATACATTTGAAATTAATATTTGATTTTTCTCAATCTAAAAATTATAAATAAAATAAATTTATTATTTTTTTCTTTGATTGTCTAAAATCAATTATACTAACCATATCAAATATTTGTGTTAGTGTTAAACCTAATTTAACTGGTACTGCTAGACTAGCATTTCGTACAGGTCGAACATTATTTGAATAATTACTATACATTATAGAATTAAAGAAGAAATTAACAACAAAGTAATAAATTTTACAATATATTATATTTTACCGCATTAAAAAAAATAAAAGACGTTGTTCATCTGAACAATTAACATGAATTTGATTATCACAATCGATAAGAGCACCAAATGGTGATCGAAAATCTTGACATTTACTCACATCGGCTGAAAAAACAAAAACAGTAAATATTATTATTATTATTATTATTATTACTTTTAGAATGATAATAAAAATAAAAAAAAAAGGGAATAACCTAAAACTAATGATATGTATATGCAGCTGTTTGATCTCTTCTTATCAATCCTTGATACAGTTTTGAATGACAAATATAGCGATTTACCCTTCAGGCTATAGTAACAACTGACGATATTACACAGTAGGCGGATAAAACTATGACAAATATTCATTTCAAACATCATCGAAACAACAAGTGAATTCATATTAAGAATATGTGGTCATATGTCTTGAAAAGAACTAATTGTCAGGATTTTAATCAAGACTATTGTTAAAAATAGATGAATTCCTGTTATGAAAAGATATTCTCATAGTCATGAATGTATAAACATAAAATGAGACTGTGACAACTATAAATCTTGCTAAGTACACTTATTTTTAAATATATATATCTACCTACCGAGTAATGCAGTGTATATAATCATTATGTATAATAATAATACTATGGATCGATTGTATGACACAAGAAATAAATGTTCCATGTTAGTATATTTTATTACAAATCGTTGTTCAACTAATTTTGTTTTACTCTTCTTGTTCAATATATCGTTGCTTCTCGTTTTTGAAGAGAAAAAAAAATAACAATAACTTAAGTGTTGACGAACTCTAATGTTCTCTCGTTTTGATGCTATGCTTGCTTGCCTTTCCGAGACGATGTCTTCTGCTCTTCTTCACCCGGAGAAAGGGAGAAATGAAGAGCGAAATAACCGGAAAGCAAAGAGATACAAAATGTACTTGGCGACAACTATAAGAAAAAAAAAACGATAAATACAAAACTAAATGGTCTTGTATTACGTACACACGTATGTACTAATCATACACATTCAATTATTTTCCATTTGTATATATATATATGTAAAAGGAAAAAAATAGAATAAATAATTGTATATCTCTATTCATTTGTATTATATGAATTATTTTGACAATAATTCTTACTCGTGTAAAGATGAATTATTATTGTCATATGGATATGATGTATAATATGTATCAAAGCATTTAACTAATAGAGATACAGATGTATATATGCATGTGAAGATACATAGAGAGTCTGCAATATTCTCATGATAGATAAGAATATATTAGTGTCTTTGTCAAAAAGTGATCGTCTGCATCTGTAATGACAAGTATCATATAAATCAGATTTCTCCTAGCAAATGGATAGATTGAAAACATCCGTTTTTATTTCTATCTATTTATTAAATTTATGCTGTGAGGCCAACAAGTGCAGTTTGACAAATTATATTCAGAACAAAAAAAAACAAAAATTTTATTAAATATGAATGTCATAATGAATTAAGACTAATAACAAAAACAAAACAGAAGAAATAATTAGAACAAAGATAACAGCTTCAAATGGATATACATATTTATTATTAATAAAAGACATTCTATTCTCAATGAATAATATGTTCACACCGGACCTATGTTAATCATCAAGAATATTTTGTTTTTTTTTTATTGTTCTCTTTTAAAGATCATTCATTCGTATTCGACTATCCATACTTATATGTTGCGATAAACTGTTCGATCTAATGATAACATCATTATCCGTTGTACCATTTAATGTATGTCGAGATTTCAATACACTACGAAAATCAATTTGTTTTGTTTCATTTATTGTTCGACGTTTTGTTAATGTTTGTCCAGTACTTAAATCTTGACCAGTTTTACGAAGTAAAACATGAAATGGATATTTTGGTTGAGTAGACATTGATGGTTCCTAGAAAGAGAAAGAGATGATGATTTCAGAATCTTCTTTTTTTTTTAAGAGTTTAAATCTCTAATCTTAGAGTAAATAAAATATGACTTATATAAAGATATTTTTTAAGGATATTTGATGTCATAATATATAATGAACTGTCATATTTTGTATTTTGAATAAAACATATATTAAAAAATGATTGACATTTCCGATTGTATTCTTTAAAAAAAATTAAATGTAGTTCTTTTTTTCAAGAAACGAGATCAACTTCTTGATGAATGAATTATCATTGTAAAATTCTAGGACAACAAAATTGAACTTTCTAATCATCATAAATATTATTGTAATAGAAAAGCAAATATCTATTATTCGCCTCTTATTCACTATAAATGTTAAGTGAAAAAGTAGATATGTACAGTTGCAAGATTCAAATAATACTACTGTATTTTGAACCATGAACTTTGTATTATGAACTCCATATCATGAAACTACGCATAAAAATTTAGATACGGTTTTTGAAATGATTTAGCATTATTAAGAATAATGGTTCTGGACAATTTTTATGTAACGAGTGCAATCAACTCTTATTTACTCTATACATATGATTTCTTTCGTTCTGTCTAACGAATACACAAACATTTAATAATTATAGCTATTCAGCGTCTTGCTTTCCTATTACTAGAAGAAAAAATAGACATTTACATTGTCTGTAAAAATTGCTGATTCTACCGTAGTAAAAAAATACGATCCGTATATGGTCAAAAATTTCAAAATGACTGTTAATAATAACTTATAAAAGATTTATATGAAATTACAAATCAATAAATTTACAGTCTAGAACAGGGTTGTCAATAACTTTTAGAGATGGGAGGGACAAACAAGTCGACTATGAGTACCTTAATCCTCCAATTGCTAGAAATAGTGATTGGAAGAGAAGAACAAAACACACCGTGCACCGGCTTCTACCAAAATAGGTAATCTGTCACCGATAAGCAAATGCCGTGTCAAAATCCAGTTTCTCTCCAAAGTTATCACGAATCTTTAGAGAATTAGCAGGAAGTCGAACATTTCAGAGAGAAAGCCTCTCTAATCAAGAATTCTGTCCTAGAATGTTTTCATGAATAATTATAAGTTAAGATTACCCGTGCAATAGGTTTTGGTTGTTGTTTTGGAGATGATGTAGCATAAGCAGGTAGATTGGATTTATTTTGTAATTTATTATTATTTAAACCAGATTGTCCAATAAAACGTGCTCGTATTCCTCCAATATTTGATGACCGATTAACATTTGAATTTACACCATTATTTAATTGAGTAAAACGTTTAATAGCAGGTTGATGAATATTAATATGTTGTCGTTGATATTCTTGTACTGCATTTAAAACAGTTGTCGCTTTTGGACTACGACTTTGTTCAATAGATGAATTTATTTGTGATGATGTTGTATTGATTTGTATATGATTTTTTATTGGATTAGAATGATGAGTTATAACGGATGTCGTTATTTGAGCACGAGCAAACATATCTCGAACTTGAGCAAATTTTGACACGGATGATGTAGGAGATGGAGAACGATTTGAATAAGATGTTAGTATTAAATTATGATGTATTGGTGATAAACGTGATGTAAGAGATAATATTGATGATGATGAATTTATTGGTATTTTAATTGGATTTAATGAATCAGAATGTGATAATGGTGATGAAAACGCTCCACATGTTGATGGCAATGGTAATGGTGGTGGTGGTGGAAATAAATGTTGAATAATTTTATTAGCCTGTTTATAATTATTATTATTATTAATATGATTATTTGGTATTGTTTCAATTGATTTTAATGAAACACAATAATTTGTACGAACAATTTTTGTAAAAAAATCATTATTTAGTAATTCAATTTGTTGTAAAAAACAAAACATTAAAATATTTAAACGTTGTTTATAAATAGCATAAGCTTTTCGAAGCATATAACCACGATAATATTTTTGTATTATAATTGCAGCCGTTTCTCGATTTAAAGGTTTTTTTGTTAATTGAATAAAATGACGTCGTTGTAAATATCCACGTATACATGATTGAATACATATAATTGCTTTTTCTTTTATTTGTTCATCAGTTATCATCGACTAAGAAAATGCAAAAAAATATAAATAAGAAGATTTCTTTTTTTTATTGAAAACAAAAGAAAAAAAGAACAAACTCGTGAAAATTTTGGATGTCGATTAAGTTCTTGAATAATTATATCATTTGAATGTTTATATTGACGACGCTTAAGATATAAACGTGCTAAATGCATACGTACATATGATTGTATGATTATAACGGCATTGACCATATCAGCATAGAGACGTGTTAATTGTTCAGCATGATAATATTTTAGAAATATTTTACTTTTACCTTTAACAAAAATAAAAAAAAAAAAAGAAAATATTCAAAATGGAAAGAAAAATAAAATAATATGCAAACCAGTTGTCCAATTTTGCATTTTTAATTTATGTAAAATATTTTCACAAGTTTCACGTGTTACTGGTAAATCCATGGTGATTGGATAGACAAGAATTGAATAACGTTGAATAAAATTTGCAAATGGAATACGATGTGAATAACCAAAACGACGTATTTTTGCCGCTATAGGAAACAAGACAAAAGATCTTTTATAAGTTTTTGGATTTAATTTAATTCGATTTTATGTAATAGAATACAAAATAATAGGACTAGACTACATATAACTATCCGAATAATGAGATATTACTAATAGATTTTATTTTAAGCATAAGAAATTTGATTATCGATCAGTAATATAGATTTGTGAATAACATATTCTTATATGGTTTTCAACTACTAGATGAAGTATTACGTGACAACATTTGTACGATATTATTGTTCAATAGTTTAATATTAATTTTACGAATATTTCTAAATGAAACTTTGTTAATTTTTAATAAATATTAAACTAATGAAAGAAAATACAGAACTGTCGTCAACCTACCTAGACGGAGATCTATTTGCTACAATGATGTAAGAAAATAAGAGTTTTTCTCTTCATTTCGAGACGATGTGCAATTTTTTAGAATAAAGTTTTCATTTTACACAGGAGACAAAGTCATATTATTCAAGAAAGGTTCGATCAATATCAGAATAACGTTCATTTAAATCTTGTTACTATATGTTACTGCAGGAAGGAAAAAAAAGGAAACAACAAAGAATATGTTTCTTTTTGCCTGAGAACCACATCAGCATTAACTGTAATGTATAGCGTAGCAACTGACTTAAAGGTGTTCTCCCATTTCTTGGTTTTGACCGAAAGTTCGATTTCGAGATGGGCATCAAATATGAAGGTCTGAAGTGAAATGCGAAATTAGAACGATTGTTGGACTCTAAAAAGCTTACTGTTACAGAGTTATTGAATTTTCAGAATTTTTTCTTTTCTTTTACTTAGTGTAATGCAAATCATCAGTGTTCTCAATCCTAGTTGCTTACGACCTCTCTCCAACTTTGTTGAACTCGGACTAAAACTTTTACCTTAAGTACTTGGAATTATCCTTCAGTGATTTAATCAGTTGTTTACGATTTTTTGATTTTTTTTTCGACTTCATTGGGTTCTGAACTTTTTAACGTATTTCTCTGAAAGAAAAAGAAAATCTGATTTTTCCAGAACGCTGAAAAATAACTTTGAAGTATCTTCGAAAAAATTTTCAGTTGAATTGGATAAAGTTTGATAGGGATAGTGTTGTAAAAAGATGCAGTCTTATGAAAAATTCTTTTGAATTTTTTTTATTTCAAACACGTATCTCCTGATTCCAGGTGCTCTACATATGGTAAAACTTTCAATTTGAACGATTGTACCCTCTTCGAGAATCAGAAATGATCAAAATAATAGACGGAGGAGAGGGAAGGGACGAATACCCTAAAGTGTTTCATTACAATTTGTTGCAAACAATGACTATAGCTAATTTAGATGTATCTCTTCGAGACACTCGAACTTCTAAAAAGATGGCTTTTCGATCCGTCTAATATTCCAAAGCAATAGAACTTATCGACCATCTTTATATGACTGTTCAAAATTGTACATTGTGCTCATTAAACACAATGGAGGCCGATATTACATCGAAGAATTATGACGCAAATGAAGAAGTGGATTTATTGATTTACATTTTTCTTGCTGATATTTTATATAAAGAAAAAAAAAAGGTTTAGATTGACTATGATATTACATGATAGACCTTAATAAGTGTTATCTTAAAATTGATCAGACCTTCTTGAATGATTACGGCTCTGTCTCATGTATCTTAAATGCAAAATTCTATGTTACAAAATTGCAGATCTAAACTTCTTGGAATAAAGAAAAAAACCTATGGAAAAACTAAACATTCATAATCTCACAAAGTCCTAGTCATAGTCAAACTATAGACTCGAACGGCGATCGATAGTCAAATATCTCCCTTTGTAAATGTTATAAGAATATTCATAAAAAATCAATACAATCATCTATAGAAAGTTGTCTATCACTGTTCAAGTCTTGACATAAGACCTCTTTCTTCAAAAAAGTCAATTTTCGTCAGAAAAATCGAAAGAGAGATAATAGCCAGAGCTCTGATTTTTCATAAATGATATCATTTTTTTATTTGGTACCTCGTTTTCTGCTAAACATTATAATGTCTTTCATCTTCTTCTGTTTGGAAAATACACTTGTTTTACACGAAAAGTGGCAAATCTTATCCGTTTTTTGAATTCGCAATCATAAATTCTTTCAAGATCATCATTCTATGTATTTAGGTTTTTTTCTGTTTGAAATAGTGTGTGAAGTTGCAATGCCCCACAGAACCCACTTTTTGAATCAAGTCTCTTGAATTATTGTATAGAAAAAGCACTTCTATATATACATGATCATGTTTTGACAGACTTTCGAGGTATTGAACATGTCATTCTTTTTTTCTTCGTATAAAAGGTAAAAATTAAAAGAAATGCTCTTCTATGCACTAGAATTTGACATATTCTTTCAAATCAAAAAAGAAATTAAATTTATAGAATGTGGGCTCACAAAGAATTTTGTGTTGTAAAAAGGGCCTTGTTTATTGAATATCTCCCCCGAACATCATGATATAGAGCTGAAAATTTTTACCATAGTCCCTACAACTTCAACATATTCTTAAAAATTCGTACGATTTCAAAGTATTTGGACCAAGATTGGATTTTGATTTCGACAAAAATTTTCTCATTCAGTCCAGTATCGAACAAATCTCACTTTGGTAACCTAATAAATATATGGATGATACTGTCCATTGATAAACTATATTTGAAGTTTCATGTGGTTTATTGAAAGTTTATATATTTAATTTTAATTAAAATTAATTCTTCATTCATTTACAAAAGGAACTTATAAGTTGTCAAAATATTTCTTATAGCAAAAAAAAAACATTCATCTTACGAATTGCTTTTGGACTTTTTCTACTCTTGCTGAAACTTTCTTAAGAATTCAAAGAGTGGATTATAGTTCGAGTAACTCCATCGTAGGTCGAGACCAAGATCGAGTTCGAGACTAAAATTTCAGTTAATTCCATATATCTCCACTCAAAACATATAATATGTCAAACGCTATTGTTTGAAAAATATTTCTTCATGTAAATAATATTTATCAAAGAATAAAAGATCAAAAGTAGATTACCTGCTAAAATACCACTATATTTTAATTGTTCAAGAACAGTTTGAGTATCGAAACAACCTGGTATTCGATCATTATTTGGTTTAAAACAACGAACAAATTTTGGTGAACCATGAATCATTTTTGAAAAAAGATCTGTTAATGAATAACGAAAATAAGTCGTAACAGTTGCTTGTACACGATTATGACTAGCATTTAATGGCATTAATGTATTAGTTAAATCAAAATTTGATTCTGTATTCATTGGATTATAACGTTGAGATTCATTTTCTTGTAATGTACCAGTTTTTGTTAATGGTAATTGAAATAATGTACTAATTAATTGAACATTAGATGAACGTAAAATTTGAATAATTTCTGGTGCTAAATAATCACGATTTTTTTCAAGAAAACCACGTGCATCATATTGAACTTGGCCAGCAAAATGTATTATTGAAAATGAAGGAATTGATTGATGTGTTGATGATGATGCCGAAGAAATTGAACTCGATGAGAAACTTGATTTTGAACGAATGTATAATGGAGAACTTGAAAAATTTGCATTTAATTTATCTACTAATGTATAATCAGTTGCTTTTGGAAAACGACTTTCTTCATCAATTAATGCTAACATTCCAACCTAAATATACAATTCATAGTTTGCAAAAAAAAATTCCTTTTTTTTTTGTAATGCTATTACAATGGGTTTTAAATTTATGTTAAATCAGAAATACTACTTAACAGAACAGAGATTATACAATGTAGCATGAATAGAGATGTAAGTCTATTGACTGCAACATCAAAATAGATTGTAGATTTTCGAAAATTTTCGAGATCCCGAAGTAGTCTTTGGGAATAAGAAAGTTTTTTGAAAAAATGAATTGAAAACTTTTAACTGCTACAGAATAATGCATTAGTTTACATCTATCCTAACATAGAAAGAGCATTGAGATTAACAGATGAACTGTTTCAAAATAAAATCCATCAATATTCATAGTAAAGTTTATTCAGCATAATTGTTACACATGAAGAAATTTATTTCAAATTATGTTGTATTAAAAACTTTATCCTTTTGACTACAATCATTTTTAAGTCTCGAAAGAATGAGTTTACATATGAACTAGGGTATAATCGTTAGTTGAATATCTCTCGATCAATTTGAGTACTCAAGTTGCCAATTCAAATCATATTATATTGATGAATATCATCATCATCTCTAATGGATGTAATATGCGCATGAGAATGGCACCTTTCATTCTAAAAATAAACGTGTCGTAGTTTGTTGACTAAATATTTGGTTGAATATACTGAACTTATGCATTTCATAAATCTTTCAATCTAAATTTCTTATCAATTAATTATTGTTCGAGAATACGCTCATAAAATGATCAATATTCAAGAGTAGACGGTCTTCAAGCGGTCTTGACGGGATCAAATCTACTTCCATTGGCTCAATTCTAAGATCTTATTATTTTGAGCTCCAACAATAGAAATTACTAATTACAATTACACTAGAAAAGTAGTAATTGATCACTTGTGCACAAATTAGAGACATGTTGAAGGATAATTCAATACATAACTTCTTTTCTTCTAATGATATTGTATACTATACAGTCTATGGGGAAACGGTAAATGTTGTTATTCTTCGTTTCATCAATGCAACCACTATATTAGCCTACTATACACATTGATGTAATCCTTCAATAAGTTTCGAAGTACATCATTCGTTCTCTCGACGAACTTTGACTTATACTATTGAGTTTTGTCTAAACTTAGAATTAAATTGCTTCATACTTTTTTGGCTCCGAAAGATAAATAATATCGCCGCCCTAGTAATTGACATCTACAATAAGATCCTTTTGCTGCATTGAATACTAAAGCATGCAATATGGAAACTAGGTACAATCTAAGGTCGATGGTTTAGATTTATAGAATTCTTTGGAAAGATTCTAAAAAGTTCCAGAATGATCTAAGCACTGGTATTACTGCTGCATTCTTTCCTGTTTTTAGAAAACCGTATTCAATGAGCATTTAGCTCTCCCTCTCACTGTCTTATCCAGCGTGAGGACTGAAGGTGAGCCGTTCATTTGAGGATCAAATTGATTCTCCTGGAGTTGGCAATTACTGTAGCATATACTACGTATCTATGTTCCAAAAATAGGTGTTCACGTTTCCGAAATTTGAGTATTATATTATATTGAGAATATTTATTAATAACTTACTGGTTTACTGAGAAACATATCAAGTAATGGTCTATTATCATAAAATGTAAAATCCATTTTAGGTGGTAATGGTAAAACAGCTAAATTTTCATTAATATATTCTTGTCGTTCACATGCAAAAACATGTTGATTAAAATAATATTGAATTTGTTCATTAGCTATATTAATACATAATTGTTCAAATGTATTTGTTGAAAAATTTTCAAAACCAAATATATCTAAAATAGCTATTTTAAGTTCATGATTATCTTGTTGTAATTCATTAACTGATTGAATTAATGATGTATTTTGTTTAATTGTTGAAAGAGAAAATGATGGTGATGATGACAATTGTTTGGTATTTGTTGCAAGATTATTTGATGATTGATAATGTTTTTTAAGATTATTTTCAACAGTTTGTTTTCTTAATGATAAATTTATTTCACTTGCTGCACGATTTGATAAATTTAAACGTCCATGTTTTGATGAAAAATTTTTTTTATCAATCATTGATGTGCCATTTGATGATGATGATGCAGCAACAGCTTTTGTCCAGTTATCAATTAAATTTTTAATTGGTTTATCATCATTTTGACAATGTTCAGATAATGATTTATTATTTAAATCATTTATTCTATTCGATGTTCGAGTATTATTATTATTACTATTAGTTGGATTTGGTGGTGATGGTGATGGTGATGAATTATTACTTGTTTTATTATTATTATTATTATTTATATTTAAAATATTATCACCAATATCATCATCATCATCATCATTATCACCTTCAGATTGTTGTAATTGAAGTAAAAATGTTGATGATGATGGTGTCATATCAAGAAAATCAAGTGTACGACGCATTGCACACATAACTGTTGGTGGTGGATATGATGTAACCATTGTTAAATTTTGATTATTAGTATCATATTCTGTATCGAAATTTTCATCAACTTCATTTTCACTTTGATCATCTTGATTATTATTATTATTTGTATTATAATTATTAACGGTATATGATCGTATACTTGAATCTTCATCTATAATTGTATTTGATTTATCTTTTGAAATAATAGCTGATGGTGAAAGAAGTGCTGATATTCGATTAACAATCCATGAAAATAAACGATTATAAACTAAAATAATAGAAAATATTAAATGAAATTTTATAGTTATAAGACTCAATTAAGAATATAAATACAATATAGATATAGAAGAATTATTTTGAACAAAAGAACAATAGATCTTCTTGTTTTAAGTCATTGTGATAACAATGTTTACATATAGAAAAACTGTTATCGCTCATCATAAGGAGATTGTTGTATTTATCAAAATGTCACAGTCAAAGAAAAGTAGTTTTTTTTTAAACTGCAACGTTTATTATTAGTAAATTCTTTTCTGCCAAAGACAGAATTTGTATACAATATTAATTATGTTCAGCTAATATGTAAGATATTTCAATGAATTATAAAAGATTCCAACGAAATGAACTAGCAGAATGAATTTAAAGTCATTTTGAAAAGCACGTTTGATTGTTCCTTTTATTATACAAAATGATGCAAGACTTCTCAGGTCATCTTTACTTTTTTGCTGAAAAACGAATAATTAACTTATTATTTTAGAAATCGTGTTTTATATAGCTCCTCAGGAGATACATAATGATCTATCATAAAAATGTGTTGGATTGGATTTTTTCCAACTGTAACTGAAATAAGACGATTTAATTTTTTTCAAAGGAGAGAATTACTTCTTTTCTAGTATAGAGATGTAAATGAAAGAGCTGATCATGAAAAGATCAAATAATCGAGGAGAGCAAAACCTACTTCAAATATGCACATTCACTTTCACATATAGATACAAATAAATTAAAACTCCCGTTGAGCATAAAATATTATTTAGTTCATGACCGATAAGTATTGATATGTAAAGTTGTTTTTTTCTTTACACTCTGAAACAATAAGAAATTAATCGGAAGTCTCCAGAAAAGAAACGTGAAGGGACGAGATTTTGATCATAACGATGGAAGAAAAATTTGTTCCTATTGGAACTAGAGACTATAGTTAAAGATTTTAGGGTTTTAAGTGGATTATCGTGTAAATCATATTAAACACAAAATAACTCAAGAGAGATGACACAAAAAAGTACTTCTCGTCAACTAAATAAAATTGAAAACACGAGTATTGAAGAATTTTTTAAAAATGTAATGCAAATAAATTCTGGAATAGTTTTTTCGAAACCAGGATCTGTATCAAATAAACTTGGTCCTGTAAATTTCTAATACACAGATATGTCGATCTGGAATACTATTCCTACGTTCCATCATTTTCCTGTGATAACCATCTCATCCGTACATCTTCATTTGATTCTTTTCTGTTATTGAACAACTTAAATTTCATCTTTTATTTTTACTATTAAAAAGACAAGACCCGGAGCCATCGAGATCTTATTAGTATAAGTCTTGAGTTTATCAATCTCCACACCCTTCTATTAAAATTCATTCAGAAAACAATTATCGATGTTCGTTTTTTTTTCTTTGAAATAGATAATAGTTTGCAATTGTATTTGAAGAAATTTTTTTCCTCATATACATAACTTACGTGCTTTTGCCATTGCATCTCTTGTTGTTTGTGATTCTTGTAATGTTGTTGAACGTTGAATAGTTTCACCTCGTGTAACAATATTACATGTTGTTAATGCTAAATCAAATTGTGCTATATCTAAACCAAATAGTTCACAAACAATATTTAATAAATATCGATCTGTTAAACATGTTTTTCCATCAATAAAATATCCTTCATTCTGATGAAAATTCATATTTCCGAAATGTAATAGTCCAGCTAATATACGATAAATTGATTTAATTTCATCATATTGAAATCCAATAATTTCAAAACATTTTTCAATTGTTTTAAATTTTTCTTTAAAATTTTCTGATAAATCTTGTTCATCATTTAAATCCGTTTTTAAATATCTATATATTTGATTTTTTGATAAATAAAAAGCTTGTTCATCATTTGGTAATGATGATGCTAAACCATGAAATAAATAATAAAAAATATGAAAATTTCTTTCAGCATGTCCTTGATTAACAACACGAGTTTTTTCTAATAAATATTCTGATAAACGTGCACCTGTAACACGTCCTTGTTTAGTAAATAACATTTCAAGATATTTACCAAAACGTGATGAATTATCATTAATTATTGTTCGTGCATTACCAAAACCTTCAATTAATGGATTAATTTGTAAAATTTTTTCTTGTAAACTTTTATTTGGTGCATTGCCAAGAAATGTTAATTGTTTAACAAGAAAATTAGCTGATTGAGTTTTACCAGAACCACTTTCACCTGATATAACAATATATTGATTTTCTGAATCATGTAACATAGCTTGATAAGTAAAATCTGCTAAAGCATATATATGTGGAGGTTGTTCACGTTTTATACATGAACGATAACGTATCATTGCATCTTTACCATATATAGGTAATGCACGAAATGGATTAACAGCCTAAAAAAACAAATAAAACCAATTTCTTTACAAAAAAAATTATTTATTTGGATTTAAGAGTGTGGGTGACTTATTTGAAAATGCACTGAAAGAATAATACATTCCGAGTAGATTCAGTAGGATGTGATGATTTGGTATTATGTGACAGAATTTTTAATAGGGCTCTTTTTTATGACATATTCATGAAAAGAAAGTTTTGAATAACTAAACAAGAGTGAACTGAAGAAGAATTCGAATCTAAAACTTATGAAATGAGAAACCATCGCTCTAACCACTGATGTGGAGACCATTTCGGCTACATCATTCAGATTTCAATGATTATTTTTGCTTATAGATACTGGATAGTGTTTTGTAAAAATTCTAAGAAGATTTGAGTTCCTCTTGCGAGTTCATGAAGCTATCGATTTTTAATGTATCTACTTCTTAGAGATCACAGATTTGCGGAGTTTCTGAAAATCTAGAACTTTTTTAAAATGCGCATATTTCAAAACTCGATAGTTTAGTCAAAACTCAAATCCTATTGGAGCTTTTATTAGAACACTATGCAGTATGTATAAGCCAAAAATTCTTAGAATCAGAAGAAATTTGTAAAAATTTCAGAACAGTAATGATCGATATAAATTTATTCTGCTATGTATAGAATGTATCCGTTGAGGAATTAATTTAAGCTAGTGAATTAGTTGCAGGGAAATGCCTACAGAGAATTTATGTTTCTAGAGTAGATCTACTAAGGAAGCATTTGATATTAAGAAGTTTGTTTAACAACTTCTGTGATACAATAACGTTTTAAAAATTAATCTACTGAACAGAAGTTAATCCAACGATAGATTAATTTATATTGAGATGTCTTCAGATAAATCTTTTAAAGAACATCATACTACCATAATATACGACATAGAAAAAATGTATTCCGAATTTTTAAACAAATCTAATAAATCCAAAAAAAAATAAGTTTCAGTAGTTCCTCAAAACTTACAAGAAGAATGTCACCAATATAAGTATAAATTTGATTGGATAAAAATCGATTATACATATAAGTCATTATTGATTGTTCATCAAAATTTTCTAATTGTGCTAAATCATCTGTTGATATTGAATTATTTGGATAATATGAATCATACGTTGAATTATAAAAATATTTATTAGAAGTTTTTTTATTTAATGATGGATGACGAACAGGTATATCATCAGAATTTTGATCATATAAATAAAATTGTGATGAACGATTTTCATTTAATATTTGTTTTTGTTTTCGTCGAGATTGAGATTTTCGTTTGGTTTTATAACTTTGATTATGATGTCCATTTTCAATAGGTGGTGGTGGTGCTGGTCGTTTATGATTTTCATGTGGTTTACTAATCATTTGTAACATACGTTTTGAAGGTTGAACAATGGATTCAACTGTTGGTGAATATGTTCCTGTTGCTGTTTCAATAGCAATTGATGAACATGTTTCTGATTTTCCTCTTATATGTCCATTTTTAACACCACATGTTTCACGACTTGTTTTTTTAACACATAAATCATAACAACGTTTATTACGTTGAACAATTTGTACAATATGATGACGTGCTTCAATACCATCACTAGGTATTTGTGTTAGAAATGGATGATTTAACATATATGCAACTGTAGGTCGAGTTTCGAAATCTTTTATTAAACATTGACGAATAAAATCATTAAATTCATTTGACCATGCTTCAGGCTGACGTAAACTTGGAGGTGGATTTCGAGGAATAGAAACAAGTGCACGCATTGGATGCATTTCAGCAAGTGGAGGTTCACCTGTAAAACATAAGAAACAAAATCAAAAAAAGAACTTGTCAATGCGACTTGTTTCGGGTTATAATATGGCAGTCACATGTTTTCTTTAACTCCATTGTAGTACTACAAAGTGGATTAAGGAAAATGTCTCTAGTAGGCTATAGTTGTTTTCCAAGGATGATAGATCCCCAGGGAAATGATCTGTCTTATCTATTTCAGCATTTCGAACAGAAATGTTTTTTTTTTGGTGTTCGGTTTTGTGAAACACGATCCAAAATGGATGTTGAAGTATATAAAGTAGAATCTTGGACCCATTAGACTATCGCATCGTCCCAGATCTCGCAAAATGTTGTTGATATTCGATCGAAGACCATATGTTCATAACATCTCCTTCTAATATTTGAACTATCTTCTTATTCTATTTTTTAAGAACTATGTAAAAGGATCGCGAAGGTGACTAAACATAAGCAAATACCTTCAGCTATTTCAATAGCTGTTATACCAGTTGACCATACATCAGCACGTGTATCATAATTACAATCCATTTGTCTTTCACATGCAATAACTTCCGGTGCCATAAAAAATGGTGTACCAACCGATGTATTACGTCGTCCATTTGTTGGATTCAGATAAGCACTAACGCCAAAATCAATTAATTTAATATGACCATCACCTGTTATTAAAATATTATGACCTTTAACATCACGATGAACAACATTATTTGAATGAAGATGATATAAAGCTTTTAATGTTTCACGTATAATATAAGCAATAATAGATTCATCAAGACGTTCATTTGCTTTAAGCATTGATTTAGCTAAATCAGTAACACTACCACTTGTACATAATTCCATAACTAACCATAATTGATCAAGATGATAAGTTGAAGATGCTACTGTTGGACTAATAAGACTATTTATTGAATTAGTTTCTATGGAAAGAAGACTTGTTTTATCAATGAGTGTTGGTGATGAAATAATTGGATTACGAGGTGGAGGTGGTAAAGGTGGTGAACCACGTTTTAAATAAGCACCATAGAAACGACAAAGATTTTCATGATTTGAAAGTTCAAGAAGTACACGATATTCTTGTTCGATTTCTTCACGAACTTCATTAGTTAGATGCATAATTTTTACAGCAGCATTAAAATCAGAATTACGCATATTTTTTGCCTAAATAAAAATAATTAATTAATACAAAAGAAAAAAAAAGGAAGAGCTATTTTTTTCATAATCTATTTACACGAAATACTTCTCCATAGGTCCCATCACCAATATTTTCAAGTAATTGCCATTCACGATCAGGTGATGGTAAATCATCAAGTCGAAAAAAATTTGTCTTTTGATGATCAGATGTTAATGAAATGGTTTGTTGTTGTTGTTGTTGTCGAGATGGTGGACGTGAACGAGTACGAGGTGGAATAGGTGGTATTGGTTCCGGTGGTGGATGATGATGATATAGTAATTGTGGCATTTAAAATCTTAACAAAATCAAATTACTCGTAATTCTAAATCGATCAACTACGAAACAAGTAGAAAGACAAAAAAAAACGACGTGATTGTTAACGTTCTTCTTTCATATTGAACAGTTGATGTCGTTTGTTTCTCTTGTTCTTTTAATCCGTTCGATCAATAAGACCACACCTTATAACCAACAAATCATTAGTGAGTACATGTCTCATCAATTAATTTTTCTTTTCCATAGACAAAACAAGGAAGAATATTGTTTGTATTATCTTTTCTACCTCTCTTTCTTTCGTCAAAAAGATATTGATTGTTACAATGATCAAATAACATATTGTTCATTGTTGAAGATTAGTAAAGCATGATTTTTGTCTTTCATGAAATATATGTTTAACATAAGTGAAAGTCAATAAGAAAAAAAATATTGTCTCTTACTTCATTCTTCCGTAAACATACAGATCGGTTAGAAAGAATAGGATTGAGACAATAATCAAGACTAATCTCTGATAATGACTACTCAATTATTGATATTAGACAAAAGAAAAAGTCGAATAATCTTATCTAAAATAACACGTACAAGCATTAGTTTTATCATGTGTAAATATAGATTTGTGTTCTTGTTTTTCTTTTTCCTATCATCAATTAATAGACATTGTTCATGAATGATTCGATTTTCATTTCATTTATTAGAGATGATACCAACATTACAACTTCTCTACTAATGTATTGAAAGAAACTATGAAACAAAAATCAATTTAGAAGGATTATATTATTAATTTATTTCCTGGTTTTATTTGACGAATTCTAAAAAAAAATTTTTTAGCTAACGAATATTTCGAAAACCAAACGTGTGTAATTTCTATATTTGATATAATTAATAGATTTACTATTTTAGATTGATTAAAATTATATTTAAAAATTAGAAAGTCGTTAGCAAAATTCCTATGTGACTAAAATATAAAACACCATGTAGCTGCTGTTGTTAACCACTAGGAGATTATTTTATTTTATTTATTTTGGGACATGTTTTTTCACCATTCGATTATTTAATCTTTCAAAAATGCAATAAGAAAGAAGGTCATATATATAATAAGGAGACGTTATTGATATACGGCGTTTGATTTTGAATATCAATCAAGTCTGTGACCATCTGTGACCTTGTGAATGATTGTTTATTTCACCGCTTCGTAGGACGAAAAGTTCAAAATAAGAATCATGTATCCAAAGGGCATCTTGATAAGAAACTCTGATAAACCATGAACTTTGTTAAAGATTGTCAGTCTGAGATATTTTTTCGTGTTGATATGTTTTTGCAAGATTAAGAATATTGTAGCTGCTGTGTTTACTATTCAAAATAAAATTAACTAAAACATAGGTTAATATTTTCTAAATCTTAAATTTTCGAATGACAGAATTTTTTTCATCCAACTGTTCTTATTAGTTAAATACCGAGAAATTCAAAATATGACATGGTTTTGGCATGTTTGGACTGATGTACTCGAATTTTAAGGTAATGATCGTATACATGTGACGTCCGCAATTTAGTTTCAAAAGATTTTTTTTTGATTATTTTTCATGATGGTTTGATAGAACTCATTGATTTGCACAAGAAAAAGACATGTATGAAGTTCAATAATAAAATTTTACAAAAAAAGTTCAAGATATCATCACTTTGAAATAAAAAAGAAAATATACTGAAATTTCTAAGTTTCGTAAAACCCTCTTAATTGAATTCAATGCGTGACTTTTTCTTGTACAGCTCAATGAGCTCAGTCAAACCATCATGAAAAATATTTCCAAAAATCTTCTGAAACTTTGAACTGTAGGATCACACGTATGCAATCAATACCTTAGAATTAGAATATTTCAGCCGAAGCACGCCATACTTTAAATTTGTGAGTTTGACAATAAGATCTTTAATTTGACGCGCATATATTCAATGTTCTTGAATTACAACATACGAACTTCCATTATCAGTCACACAATCGATAGAGATGAAAAAAACTGCTTATTAAAATAACTTTTGATACATCCAGAATCATCAAGACAATCTTGAGAAGGTTTTTTTTTATACTAATGGGAAATATGCCATCTTGAAGCAAACCAATCTGATTGAACTGTTTTTTACAACACTATTACTTTGATGCATTATCATATGGAGGATTTGTCAAAGGCACTTTCATTGAATTCTTCTCAATGGCCTACATCTGGTGAAAACGTTGCTCGAATTTATAAAAAATATGAAATAACACTAAAACGACACGCGTTTTTATTTTTTTTTCTAAAAGACATTGTGAGAAATTGAAGGAGTTGTTTTGTTGATATCCTTCCATATTAATGTTCATTGAACTACTTCATCACTTCAATCATACTTATATTACTACGAACACACTGTTCTATAATACTCACACAAAGAGAAGAGAGACAAAAACAAACACATCATCAAGAACAATACGATAAGAAACAAGCTATACATAGAAGAGAAATGGAGTGTAACGGTCATTTACATTTTACAAATACTTGTTGTCTTTGAAACATATTTATCCTCTGAATGGTTCCTCATTGGCTAGCTACTTCATATAAAAAAAATCATTGAAGCGTATCAGATTATAGATGAGTGTCCAAAGGCGCTTTCATAATGCAGAAAAAGCATTTAAAACTAAGCGAAGCAAAATTTCTTTCAAATCTACTTGATTTCATACTAAAACAATATTAGCATAATGCTTTTATAAAAGGGCATCGTACTCAAAATCAATTTCTATTTAGAAACGTACTCTGACTATTTTACCATTTTCATGGTCTCCTAATAATTTTCATCTACAATATAACTCACACGGAACTGACACCGTAACAAAAATATATAACTGCTAAATGTGATTTTTTTTAGATGAGTTAAGAAGAAAACTGCTTCACTTAGATCCGTGGGATGATGTATCTATATAAAATATTTTCCACTGATGAATAAAAATTACCCAATAGGTATTACATCACTAGCAATATTCGGATGATGTATCTTTAAAAAAAGTTAAACAATTAATATTAAGAATTTATTATCAATAACTTATTTTGTCTGAACCTTTACATGGCTGCATAGTAAAGGAACAACACTCACTCAACCGAATAGCTTTACAGTCATGTAAGCTTTTATAAATATTATGAGTCCGTCGATGAAACAAATTATTCACTACTGATATTTTTATCAAAACCTAATTGATCTAATTGACAGGACATATCAAAGAGTGTGGGTGCCGCAGTGTCATTCTTGTGTAGTTATATTCTTTTTTTGTCTCCGTTTTGTTGAATATAATCTTAATTGATAATGTAAAATGAAGCAACTGTTACCAACGCCCTCTATCGATCATTTCTTTTATCAAATAAGATCAATCCAGAGTGTACCTTTTTTCGTTACATCCATAGTGTCCTTTCAAACAGAACAAACAACGAGCAAGGTCATTGATAGTTTGAAAGTGGTATAATTTATAAAAAAAAGGTGTTTTTTTTGGTCAAATCACGATCTAGTTTTCATTAATATTTCAGATGATTTTTCATCTCATCACTTTATTTTCCATTTTGATTCAATCGATTACGTTTGCTCAAGTACTCGGTGAGTAATAAAAAAAAAAAGAACTTAGTTGACTCACTAATATGCTTTATGCATGTTATAACTTCATTTAATCTTTCTAATTTTTTTTCAACTAAAAAGAATGTCCGTATGGCTGGGAAGAATTTACTGGCACGGCTTCATGCTATCGTTTTGTTCGTTATCCAAGAGCAACTTATGATAATGCTCGAGCTCTTTGTCAGGTCGGTTAAATTAATTAATTAATTGTTCTTTTTTTTTGTTTCATACTAAAATAGTTGTGTATAGACGGATCTTTTAAGTGTTGAGTCTTTACCAGAACATTTATTCATAACAAATTTATTAAATATCAAAGATCCATCAACACAACGTTGGATAACAAGTGGAAGACGTAATGGACCATTTTGGCAATGGGTTAAATCATCGGGTGTAATTAATTTACAATATGATCAAGGATGGTTACCACGTACAGAAGAAGAACAACAAATACGAACTTTTCTTGTTTATGCTTATCAAAGTATGTTATTAGTTATTTTTTAATTTAAATCATTTTCTTCTTCTAGGTAGTCAATGGGGTTGGTTACCATATGATATTACACCTGCAGAAACCTTACCATTTATTTGTGAAATTCCCATACGAGAGACTTATGGTGTTATGTCTAGTTATCGTGGCATTGGTAAGATGAAATATGTTCTTTTTGTTTAAATGTTATATTTTTGTCTTTGTGGTTTTTTTCAGAATATGGTCTTCCATCAAATATTGAACAACGTTTTATTCCACGTGCGCCAAAATTTTATGAACAACCACAAGATCAAGAATTTGGTCGAATTGATCAAATTACACTTGGTGTTGGTAGTACATTTGGTATTAGTAAATTATCTTTAGCTGTTGTTGTTACATTAACATGTCGAGCTGATGCTTATCCAGTTTCTGATTATTAGTATGTAGATTATAGCAAAATATATATATTAGAAATTCTTGCATTTTAGTTGGTTTCGTATGATTGGTGGTACTATATCTGAATCGATATTTGTTAATCTATCAGATCCACGATATTTTCAACATGGTGGAAATTTAATGGTAAAGATTAGTTTATTTTTCAATTATAGTATTATACAGTTGCCATCAAAAGTCCTGTTACTGGTGTACACACTAGAACTAAAGAGATGTGTGTATACTTAATAACTCGACGATGGTAACAATTAGTGACCTGTGGTTTTCAACAGTCGTTAGAGGAGAACTTCCAACATTGTTTCATTTGATATTGTCTGTACAAGACAATAATTTGACCGAATGGATATGCGATTTCTTTTACTTCGCATTGAAATGTGTGAAGAAAATTACTTGAATCGTCCCTTGAACTATAGATTTTGAAGGACATGGCAAAACCAGAATTGGATCGGAATGGAATGGAATATCATTTTCATGCATGCTTTTCAAAGATGATAGCTTTTAAACTAATTTTGCCTTGTATAGTATCAACCCATTCGTATTTATTTCTGGTGCGGACATTAGATAAAAAGCATTTAAATCTTAATCATTTTGTCTACAAAATGTTAAGTAGAAATATGAAAAATATAACACTGCAAGGTTGTAAACAACCATTTGGCCTGAAAATTTCATAATCATAAGTAGAGATCTATGTGACGATCGTTCACAAGACTGGACATATTACTGTCTTACAGGATGATTTTAGTTTTTTATCTGTAACCTACTAAAGATATGTAGAGCTTTATTCACCAATAAAGAGAACGGATAGGAATCCTTCAAAATAAAGGCAAATCAGAAAAAGCGCTTTTCTTTCTAAATCCAATGCATTAAAATGGATAAATCTCGAGTTGGCATTTCTAATTAGAATTTATGGAGTGCTGTTTGTAATAAAAAGAATTTAGATTTAGTTATTTTTTACCTAGTAGTAGAACTTATAGTGATTATTGTATATCGATTATTTATTTAGATTAACAATCCAACGAGTGATGATAGTGGAACATATTTTTGTAAAGCTTCAAATTTCTTTGGTACAGCTATTAGTAATCGAGTATATCTACGTGAAATAAGTATATATCAATATTTATCAAATATCAACAAAAATAAGTAAATAAATTTGTTGTCTAGTTTTGGATCAATTTGAAAAACGTGAACGACCAAAAGTTATTGCCGATGGTCATCGTGATGCAATTATTGATTGTTTATATAAAAATACAAATACTCGAGATGTATAATATCAATATTTATTTGTTTTTTTTTTCTTTTGAATAAAACTTTTTTTGTTTCTATCTAGCTTAATTATGCTTGGTTTAAAGGTGCAATAAATCAAAAAGTTCAACAAACAGCTGAACGTTTTATATCTCAAAATGGAAATTTATATTTTTCTCGTGTTACAGATGGTGATTCAGGAAAATATTATTGTGCTGTTCAAGCAAAAAATACACGTCTTCGTTATTTACCATCTCAAACAAGTGAAGGTACAGAATTAGATGTTCGTTCAACATTTGGTCAAGAACGTAGTCCACGTATATATCCAAATTTTCCACAAGTTTTTCCAAATTCACATTTACCAAAATTAGGTGAAAATGCTTCTATCGAATGTATAGCTGAAGGTTATCCTGTACCTACTTATCGTTGGCATCGTGAAGATGATTCTGGTAATTTATATCCATTACAATCAAAAGCTATTTTACTTAATTTTAATCGTGAATTAATTATACCATATTTACAACGTGATGATATGGGTTTATATCGTTGTGAAGCATTAAATACACGTTCAGTTGTATATCAATCAGTATCATTACAAATACAAATTGATCCTGTTTTTGTTGTACCACTTGATGATCAAGTACTTGATGTTGGTACAACCTTATCATGGTATTGTGAAGCATATCCAAATGAATTAAATCAAATACGTTATTCATGGTTTATAAATGGTACAGAAATTTTTTGGGATCGTTTAACATTTGTACAACAACAACATTTAACAATAACAAATAATCTTTTAATGATAAATAATGTTCAACCATATGATAATGGTATTTATCAATGTGCAGCAACAAATACACAAAATAATGTACAACGTTTTAGTACAGCTGAATTACGTGTTATTACATTAGCACCAACATTTGGAAAAAATACAATGGTATCAACATTACGATCAACTGTTGGTGGATTAGTAACTATTGTATGTAATCCAGAAGGTGCACCTAAACCACAAATACAATGGTTTAAAAATAATGTACCATTAAATATTGGAGGCAATGTACAAGTCTTTCCAAATGGAAATTTAGCTATTACAAATATTCAATTAATGGATGCTGGTAAGAACAAAAGAAACTGTTATTCATACACTTAAGAAGAGTATAACCAACATGTTCCTAACGGTCTCTAATGGGTTGCTAAGATGTCTTGGAAAGAGGCGACTCAAAATTTTGTCCCTTATACCTCAACACTCTTTTTAGATCATGTTTCAAAAAAAAATTGATATTCGTAAGGAATTAGATATCAATGTCTATGGGATAGACTAGAAATGAAATTCAATTTATGGTTTTTGATAAAGAAGTAACTAAGCATAAAAAGATAGATTTGAGTAAAAAAATTTTCAACAAAAGTTTATTCAAAATTAAATATCTAGACAAAGTCGACATTGAAGTGTACATTAGCCAAAGTTATCATAATAACTATCAGCTAATAGAGGAACGTTTCTACCTGACTAACACTGATGGAACTGATTTTTTTTGTCTATGAGTAAGCTTCAATCAGAATAGTAAAAGTCGAAAAGGACAATAGCTGCCAAACTCTCTTTTCGAAGTTCTAGCTATTTCAATGAGTTTCTAGCATCAAAAAAAGATGTTAACAAAGACATTTAATTAATGAATTTCGACATAGAACTTTATTCATATACATACATCGAATGATTCTTTTGAAGGTGACTTTACATGAATATTTTCTTCCGATGTTGAAAACTCATTAATAGAAGTCATAACTTCAGGAAGAATGAACTATGAGCCGAAAATCGACCTTGACGAAAAAACCAGCTTTTGATAATCATCCGTTAGAGTTTCACACAAAATTTTTCTTTCAATGAATATCTATTTTATTTCAGGTAACTATACGTGCATGGGAACAAATCTATATGGTGTAGCTCAACAAAGTACCTATGTCTATGTCATGCCAGAAGGTACAACAATTATTTCAACACCTGGTGGACGTGATGTAATTCTTGATCAAACAATTATTATTCCATGTGATGCTCGTTCAATGAATCAAATGGATTTAACATTTTATTGGCGTTTTAATAATGAAATTTTAACTATTGATAATAAACGTTTTCGACAAGATAATCCTGATCGTCCTGGTGATTTACGTATTATTCAAGCTCGATATAGTAATGCTGGACGATATACATGTGTTGCTCAAACAACTGTTGATGAACAATCATCATCATATCAATTAAATGTATTAGGACCACCTGGTCCAATGGCTGGTGTACGTTGTACACAACCATTTCAACGTCAAGTTACATTATCTTGGGTTGTTGGTAATGAACATGGTGCACCAATATTACATTATACAATTGAATCATTATCAAATCATCGTTCATGGTGGATATTTCATGGAAATTTTACAATACCAGCACCACCAAATAAATTTGTAACAATGACATTAACTGGTTTATCAGCATATACAGATTATCGTTTTCGTATATTGGCAACAAATATGTATGGATCAGGTGAACGATCAGAAGTATCACCACCATGTGTAACACAACCAGATATACCTGGTTTAGCACCAGCTGGTTTAGGTGGTGGCGGTGGAAAAGTAGGAGATTTAAGAATTGTTTGGGATCCATTACCAATGGATTTTTGGAATGGACCTAATTTAACATATCGAATTTATGTACAAAAACAAGGTGAACATCGACAAACAACTTATACAGTACTTGATCCATTTAGAAATTTTTTTATTAATCGTCTGTAAGTAAATAATAAAGCAAAGTCTTAAATATAAAACTATAGAAATTTCTTATTATCATTTTAGTTCTGATAAACTTTACTATTTTCCATATAATATTCGCATTTCAGCTGTTAATGCTCTTGGTGAAGGACCTATATCTGCTAATGTAACAATTCGTTCAGCTGAAGACCGTCCAGCACGACAAGTACTTAATGTTAAATGTAACCCATATAACAGTACAGCCATGACTGTAACGTGGGATATGATTGATGAAAATGATTATGCTGTTTTACGTGGTCGTTTACTTGGTAATTAAATTAAAAATAAAGCAGTGAAGTTGATAAATGATGAAAGTAACCCTTCGCGTGAAATACGATTTTTTTCGAAGTAAAACTTTCACACATGGTATCTGAAAGTGATTTCTGGTGAAATTAATCCTATAGCAGTTATTTGTGCTGTCCCTATGCTAGTTGGAATAGCTAATGACTGTTATATGTGAACTATATTCGGTTATGAATATAAAAATATCAAAAAAAAACACTGGTCCTTAAGAAAAATTCTAAAAGATACTATTCTAAAGGCATGATTTTATAGCTTTTTTTCACTGATATTTAATAGATTTCGATTACGAAAAGTATGGCTTCAGTGAAAGTAATATGATATTCCAAGTTAGCATCCTAAATCGAGTAGATCTACATGAGTTTCAAGTATTTTCATGAACTTTTTTTTCGTGGAAAAGATTGCTCTTGGATTTCACTTAGGAATGAGCCAAAAAACGAATTCCATCAAAAGACCGATTTTATGTTCTATTATCATTTTACAACCTTAAAACTTCATTTGCATTGTTGAAATAATCTTTTTAATGGAATTAATTTTTTGACTCACCCTGAAGAGGATCAGGGGCAATTTTTTTAACAGAAAAAACGAGTTCATTAAAATACTTGGTAGTCATATTCATCTACTCTTTTTTAAATACTGACTTAGAATATCATATTAGTTTCACACAAAATTTTTGTACCGTTTTGTAACACTTAAAACATGAAGACTAGTCTGATCGGACATCAAACTGATAAAATAAAAAAGCTGATTATCAGTAACAGCCGAATTCAATATACATAGAGATGCAATATTGAAGATAACCGTTCTACCGATAATCGTTTCTTACCCGTGAAGCGATGACAGTGAAGTGGTGATTCACTGTCACCTTGCCATCCCTAAATATACATACAAAAGTCATTAGCTATTTCAGCTGACGTAGGCATAGTACAAACAGGTGCTATAGGACTAATTCTACCAGCAACCACTTTTGGATATCTTGTATGAGAGTTTGACATGGAAGAAATCAAATTTATCGAGGGGACCGATCTCATCAGTTATCGACCATCTTCCTTTTTTTCATTTTTGTAAATTATTAATGTGTTTTTATTTAGGTTATACTGTTCGTTATTGGCGTAAAAGTGTTGATGAACTTCAAAATTATTGGGAACGTCGTTTTCCAGGTCAACGTTCACGTGCTATTATAATTGGTCTTGATTCAAATATTGAATATGCTGTACGTGTTTCTGTTTATACACAATTTGGCGATAGTCCTGAAAGTAGTTATTTTTCACATCGAACATTTCGTTTACCTCCACAAACTCCACCACAATATGTAACTATTCGACAACCAAGACGTGAAAAAGATAAACGTGTACGATTATTTGGTGATGTTTATATGTACAAATTAGAAGTTGAATGGCGTGGAATCTCAACAACAGCAGATGAAGAACCATTAGAAGGTTATATGGTAAGAAGATTGTTGTTTTTTCTTCGTGAATTAAAGAAAAAACCTGAAAATTTGAATATTTGTTTAGGTTAAAGTTTGGGAACATTATCAATCCATACGAAATGCAACAATTTATTATGTTGATGGTTCAAAATATAAAATGATAATTGATAATTTATATAAAAATCGAAATTATAAATTACGTGTTCAAGCTTGGTCACTTGGAGGTGAAGGAAAATATTCATCACCCGAAAGAGAATTTCGATTTGGTGAGTTTTATTTTTATATGATTGTATTTCATTTCTTTCTCTTTATTTTATTGTAGATAATGATGGACGTTTGTTGATACGTAAGTTTAACTATTTAATTTATTTCTAACATATGATACAAAAGTTATTATACAAATATCAGTTCCTATTTCTCTTCGATGAAAGATTATCGAAATAAAATCATTTTTATGATACATTCATCAACGAAATGTAATAGAAAAGTAGAAGGATCTTTAAAAATGAATTCGCATTTTTCATATAATGCAAAATGACAGTAAAAACATCAAAGCCTACATCTCTTTAGCAAAAAATTAAATTTTGATTAACAAGTTTTACTGAATGATCATGTCTTAGTAGAAATTTTCTAGGACCATGATTACAGTTGCCGAGAAGACCAAAAGTGCTACTTTACACCATTGTGTCATACAATTTACGATCGTATAAAGCTATAAATTGATGTCTGATAAATGTAGTATTACGACGGTATTTTATCGCGCTGTACACAATCGATAACGATTGTCAAATGATATGAATAGCGAGTATACGACCTCGATTCGTTCGTCCATATTTCAAATATTTGTTCAATATCTAGTCAACAGTTGCTTTGTTAGATTTAATTGATGAATCAACAAAAAAAACTTGCAAATTCGTTGTGAAACTATTTCTCTTTCTATTCGTCTAACTTTGTTTGTGAATATATATAGCAAAATTAACTTATATAGAGCCCGAAAAAGGAGCTAATGTTCTATAATTTGATAACCATATTCTCATTCCAACACAGATTTACTAAAGAAATATAGAAGTTGATAATTTTTACTGTTATTCTACGTTTTATAAAAAGATGTGAATTTATTTCGATTATGAACGTGTCATCAAACTAAGATATAGATGCTTCTAGAGAGAAAAATATTTCCATCAGGACTTGTATCAAAGAGAAATAGGAACCGACATTTGTTCGATTACTTTTTCATTATAGAGTGTGTTTCAACTTCGTATTTTTTTCTATCTTTGCCTTATCGAATGATATTGAATGTATAAATATTTCAATCATAACGTCTACGCTATCGAACGAAAAACCTAGCATCAATACTAAAAGAGAGAAATAGATCGATAAACATTTTGGCAAATTTATTTTCTATTGCTTCTTTATCAAAATTAAAAAAAACTAGCAATATTTCTTGATCATTCATGACAATTCACTTCTATGACTCTGTTCTTATAAGTACACTATTCACGTGCGAGGAAAGTTCATATGTGTATGTATTTCTCAGACGTTTGGATTTGAATTTGGACATAATCTTAATCGGCAACCATACCCACACCCACACGTCTAAAAATACAGAAAAGTACGAATTTTCTCTCACAGGAATAGCGTACTATAGTGGCAGCACCAGAGAAGTGACTTGTAACGAGTAAACTAGAAAGAGTGGTTGTGAACTATTTTCTGATAATGAAAGAATAAAAAATGACTTTGTGAAAATTTCTCTCGATATTATTCTTTTTCTTAGCATAGATACAAAATCGATGCAAACTTAGCGTAGATGTTAAGCTTGATAAATATATACGTATATACACTTAATAGCATCGAATACGGCAACGATAGGGAAAACTGAAGTTGAAATTTATGAAAGATTTTTTTCGTATTATTAAATTTTATTTTAGTCTATAATCCTGATACAACTCTCATTCATCTTAATAATTCTCCGAAACAATATTCATCATTAATCATACATTTTATCTTGTTCTTTGTATCTTGGTTACTCAAATAGATATATATGCTTAACTTTCTCAATTGCAATCAGATCTGTGTCCTGTGTGTATTTGTATTTTTTATAATTCTCTTATACTATAACTATTAACTGGTTTATTATTACATTCCTTTTTACTTAAAACATGAAATATACCTGTTTGTGTTTTTTAGACTATTTTTTTCTTTGTACATTATTTTTTCTTTATTATCATTATTACCGTCCTTTGTGTTAACTTTTCTTTTTTTTTGTATTCTTTATTTACCGTTGTGCAAAACATTTTGATTTCACAATGTATTCCATTTTCTTTTTTTTTCGCTGTAGATATGTTTAATAATGATAGCCGTTTGTATCGCACATTCCTATAAGCAATTACGGTTTTCTCTTTTTTCGTATTTTGCTCTAATCTGAGTGGTTCTCAATAATACAAAATTTGAAAAATAAATAATAATATAAATCACGTAAGAATTATAATTTTTGTCTAAGTATTTAATTTACGTCATGAGACTGTTTGTCTGCAACATTAAAATTTATTAGAATATAAGAGTGCTCGAATTATATGATGTTTCAGAAGTTGCTAACTTAAGATTGAAAAATCGCTGATGACAATATGTAATTTATATGAAATGAAATATTGCACAGGTTGTTATAAATATTAATATAATTAAAATGCTTTTCTGTTACAGAAAACTCAATTGATATATGATGTGCGACCATTCATAAAAGATGTTTAAGTAAAAGAAAGAGTGGGGCTGCGTCAAAAATGGAAAAATCTGAACATCCAAACACTAACTATCAATATTTTTCTTCTTTTTCCAAAGCTTTTTCGGCGGACTTTTAAGAGCGTTTTTAAATAGGTAATAAACTGAATCAAACAGTTTAATATGCATATGGTGTTGAGATAGTTGAAGATTATAGTACCATTTGTATTGAAGTTCATTTTCTTTTACTATTTTCTGCTCATTACAATAGAATGTACAATAGAAAATCAAAAGTTTGCGATAAATTATATTTTGGTTTTGTTATTTATGAAATTTGTGTTTTTCTCTTTTTGTGATACACGATATCAAAAGAGTGTTGAGATATGTAGAGTAGAAACTTAGTTCCCATTCAGACCGTGGCAGACATTATTGGAACGAGCCGTAGGCTGTGACCAGTGTGGCTGACTCGCTACGTTGTTTGTTATATATCCAATTGGTGTTATGGTCTAATTTTAGTACTACCAGCCATAGAATAACTCTGGATAAGTCATCAACGTCTTTTTGCCGCGGATCATCTATCCGATAGCCTGCAGACCAAGTTGTGACATACACCTGCCCTCATGTTTAGTATGTGGTTAACCAGTGTGTACGATGAGTTCAAGGAAATTAACGCAAGAACTCTGCATTAGGCCGGTCCTCTTCTCTCCAGAGCTACAGCTATTACTAGTTGCAGGAAAGATATTTAGCTAATTCATTTGCTGCTACAGCACCATATGCCACACAGAAGCTGAAAGATAGGGATATTCTTTCTTCCTTCTGCTCCGAAGCGTAACAGACCCTACGCAGTGTCTCCCTATTTGTCATAGCCGGTACAAGATGTCGTTGACAGACGATCAAAGACCATATATCAATAACGTCTCATTTTAATATACAAGGTGAACTTGAAGTAACTAGACGATAAAAAAACCGAATATCTCCCCTGTAGCTCAAACAAATGGGCTAGATTTTTCTAACAATAGAAACTTATTCAACTTTTTTTTGTTTTATTCGAACAAGGTAAACAAATACTATATTGAAGTCTGATGATTGAGTTGAAGAAAGAAATTTACTCTGTTGTGAAGGAAAAAGAATCCATTAAGATTGATCTATAAATAAGTTTGAGATCTGATCACAGATGATAACAGTTACAAATACAAACAGATTTTATCAATAATATGACACTAATGTGCATAGAGTAAAATTTTAGAATTAGTTTATTTCAAAGTAAATGGTTACGATATTTTGAATACTCAAGTACTAGACTCTGATTTTTGCCACACAGCTGGTAATTAGTATCCGAAAGACTTACGAGTGATCTTAAACATTAATCGAATCATTTGAACTGACTGATTCTAAAATTTTCTCTATAAACATTAGTGTCATATCGTTGATTAATTCTCGTTTTTGTGTTTTCTTATCATCGTCTATGAATAGAACTCTTACTTATAGGGCGATCGTAATGGATTTTTCTTCATTCTCAACAGGTTAAATTTCTTTATTCAAGCCAATGTTCATACTTCAGTATAATAGTTGTTAACCTTATTCCTATCAAAAAAATTTTGAACAAGTTTCTATTATCAAAAAAAAAAAAACTTTTAGCTCATTTGATTGAGCCCGATTGAAGGTATTCGATTTTTTTGTCATCTAGGTATTTATGAATCACTCTGTATGAACTACTTAATAAAAAAAAGTGGTATATTTGAACAAATTGGGTCTTTGCGTACAGTTGGTTTTCTATGTTGTAGATGTCCAGCAGAGGACAGAAGTCGATCACACTGAGCAAATCTGAACAGAAGAGATAGGAAAGCAGTCAAGAATGCTGAAATATAAGTATTGATTACCAAGATTGTTTTTCATTAATTTTCTGTCTTGAATCCTTGATAAGTTGAATAAACAATAGTTATTTTTGCTTTCTTATAATTCAGCTATTCTAGGCATTTCAATAATTATATTATTGTTCCTTCTCCTCAGAAAAACATGATCATACAGAAATCTAAGAAACTTTGAATTATTTTTTATTTATTCTTTGTTAAAAATATGAAAATTATAAATTCACACTTATATATTTGATTTCTTGCAAACAATACATACTATACAAATTGATAGAAATCAAAAAAAAAAGATTCAATAATGGTAAGATAGCAGATTTGAAACTCATTCAGAGATAGCATAAAAAATATTTTTTAGTTTCTTAATGACTAGCTCATAGAAAAAAAAAGGAAATGATCAATTGCATAATGTAAATTTTGTTTAGAGATATTCAGATTGAACAATACCAGATTCAAAATTTGATTAAAATATACCTCAAAATAGTATGTGGTCACCAGTACCTATTCGAACTAATTCAAACCTAAGTTTTCAACGTGTATCTTCGAATTCAAACTATGATGGTATAAAAAGTAGTACTTGCAGTGGACCCAATCAAATAATGTCTGTCATATTTCAATGGTACATATATATACGTTGTGAAAAAATTATTTGTAGATTGTGGTTGAACTCATTTATAATTCTCTTATTTTTCTTTTTATATTTTATTGCAACTGATTCATTTGTAGATAAATCAAAAAATAATTTTAAATATCATCTAAATCTTAATAATAATTTAAAGAAAATGAATAAACTTTATAACAAATATAATACGTATCTAACTATATGTAGTGATATTAACCATTTTTTGTGTATACAACAGAAATAGAAGTGTAAAAATAAAAATTGATTTTAATAGCAAACTGATTAACAGCATAAAAAGCACGTTTCTTGTTCTATTATTTTATTTTACTTTCAATAGGTGACTTTAATTGATGCTTCAAATATAACAATTATACAGCATAAAAAATAACAACTTGTTTTAATTTACAAAAGTTATGATCTATTTCAAAACGACAATTTACATTCATTATTTATCAATTAAATGTAGGTGTCAAGCAACGAGAAAAAGAAAAGAAAAATATGTATGATCCCTTATGCTAATATAATAACACCTCTTTTTGTACCGTTTCTTCTCTCTCTCTCTCTTTTCTTCATCTAATGACAACACATTCAACTGACTTGAAGCTAGTAAGACAAGAGAAAGAGGAAAGACGTTTTTGTTGCATATATATATACCTTTCCTTCTCGCACCATCATCGTTCGGTTTTAAGACATTAATAAGAGCAAGAATATTTTCATTCTTAACATTTTTCTCGTTCTTGTATACCTTTCTTTCTGTGATTCTTTATTGCATATTCTTATTTGCATAAGACTTCAGTTGTTCATTGAACTCATTTTTTTAATCACGACAAATCGTTTGTTTTTTAATATAAAAGAATGCATAGTCAAGTTGAATCTCAACATTATCATTATACACCAAGAATTTATGTTCATAAACGACCATTACATTGGTTTATTATGTTTATTTCGTATTTATTTATTTTTCTTCTTGTTCTTGAATCCATAGCACTTATTGTACTTGGTGCATGGCATCTAAGTATCCCACGTCTTTATAATATTCTTAGCTTTTCTGATGATATCTATCGAAGAGAATTAGGTTTTGGTATTCTTCTTGTTATTATCGGATCCTTAGGTATTTTAATTAGTATTATTGGCATTATAGCTATGATTACATTACGATTATTGTTATTGAAAATAGTGAGTAGAGAAATGTGTAATGAAAATTCAAATCTTATTTTGATTGGTTGTAGTATGTATCATGTTTATGGTTGATGATGATGCTTGGTATAGCTATTGGGATAATTGGGATTATCTTTGCATGTAAGTTTAAGTTTAGTTTGTTTTCCTCTTTGTTTTTTGTATAATGAATTTGATTATGTATGTCCAGCACAAGTTGATGGCTTTTTGAATGATGATCGAATTAATAATCCAAATTTAGTCGAAAGTAATGTAAGTTCCGATAGGCAAATAATAGAATTCTTCGGAATTAATGTTTATACTATTGACTATTTTAGTATTATAAAGAAAAATTTTTATTAGGTATGAATGGTGGTTTAACATTACTCATGAGTTTAACAATAGTAAGTTTTGAATATGTTTAAAAAAAAATAATCGAGTGTATATTTTTATTCTTTAGATTGTTGGTATTGTTATTGTTCATTGTTTAATTGGCGATACACATGGTAATCCGTATATGCGATCAAAATGAAATATATCATCATGAAATAAAGAAACCAAAAAAAAACAAATTCTTTTTTTGTGTTCATCAAACAATATTGTTTTATATATATATTATAAAAGAAAAAAAAAGAGGATGTCTATCATATCATTGAATCCTATTGTAGCATTGTAATTGAATGAGAAAAAATAATGTAGTATATGATAAAGAATGTGTAACCCTATCGCACATACTAGAACTGTCAACACTTGATTATATATCAAAAGCACAAAGATGTTGATATACAATAGGTTTTTTTTTGTTACGCAATAAATATTTGTTTGAGAACGTGCGCGTGTGTATAGAATTCAAACGGTGTGCTGTTGACATTTTTATTACTCTTATTAATCACTATAAACTAGCTCATTCTAAATAATGCATCATCATTTGATTTAATACTAAATATAGACGGTAAGAGTAATTATTTTCGATTTATTGAAAGAATAACATCAACTAAAAGTCATCTATTTTCATTTGTTATTATTTTTGATGATGATTAAAATCCTACTATAATAAATTGATTATAATTATTCATTGTTGATTCAAATTTATCAAATAGAATCGAATGAAAATATAATTGAATATTATTATTGTTATTAATCAAGTATCTTCGAATTCTAAGTTATTATTTTCTATGATTCAAATATCGACTGGTTCGTTTTATGATTTTATTCTATCGATTTCATTAAGTCGAGCCAGATTCAAATGATCGTTCAATGATGATTATATTATTAAGCATAATGATTTAGTTCTTAGACAAGCATATGTTTCTATTCAATGGCATAACAATTGTGAAAGACGTTCTACTAAGAAATTACAAAAAAAAAAACAACGTCGAAAAAAAATCACATCATTAATCATTTTACCTAAAACTATTAAAAATCTAACATTTTCTTCAAATAAAAAGAAAACATTATAAAACCAACAAATCAAAAATCAATTCCTCAAAAATCTCGTTACGTATATCTTGAAATAATTGCTACTATTGATAGTTTATTTCACATGATGTTCAAACATTATAAAATAAAACTGAATTTGAAACAATCGGGATACTTAAACTTCATTATATTCGTATAGTTATTGGTGTTGAACAAATCTATCGACAATCATTCATTCATGAAATATTTGGTATTTATATTCATTAATAAAAACTTATTTTTTCTACTGATAAATATCGTATACCATATTTAAAGATAAAATTTCTTCTTTCTTTTTCATTTAGGTAATTGATGCGGTAAAGACCAAACATGTCATCAAAAAAAAATGTATATCAACAAATCAGAGAATGACGCGAAATGATATAGCCATTTGTCTATATGGAGATCGACTTGTACCGATTCGAATGTTAAATTTAAAGGATAAAAATATGACAGGTAATATGCTTCGTTTCATTGCTATTAATCTATTACGAGCACGTGATATGAATGTCACACTTATGTTATAATTCAATCTTACCTTATCGACGTCTCTGTTGCGATGAATATAAAAAGTAAATAACAAAAAAAAACCTAGATATTTATTTAAGAGATAATAAAATTAAATTACTTTTCTAATAGACATGTAATATCAAAATATGGAAATCTTCATTCAAGCTATCCAACATTTGTTCAATGTTGTCAAATAAAATTTGTTCGTATTGATGGATGGTCTGTAACAGAGTTATGTCCTTATTTGTTATCATAACAATAGCAATAAATTTGAAAAAAAATTTCGGGATAATATTAAATAACGAGAGTAGGTTTCCAAGTAAAACGCGCCGATTAAGTCGATATTTTGTTTACTAGTAGATTTCCGGTAGACTAGAAGAAGTTGAAAAAGACTCGTCTCCATACGTTGTCGTTCTCGAGTTACGACCGCTTTTCTGTATTTTCTATCTTAGAAAGGACAAAAAAAACGACTCAATTATGAAATCTTGCGCATAGATAGATCCTATGGTCATTAGAATGTTTTTTTTCTTGAAATATTATATGTTGAAGGCATTCTATGTTCTGAACTTTTTTAGTGAGCAAAATAATCATTTGATCGGCATGTCACACTTGAAGACCTTCCTTCCTGATTCTATTTGACTTCATTTTTTCTTCAGATGAAAGAATCTTTTTAGATTAGAAATCACGGTTAAAATAATATTTACCTACTTAGATAGAGTCTATTGATATTAGACAAAGCTTTGATTAATTCATATTCACGGAGGTTTCTTCTTACGTTATGATCATTTTAGTGACTTTTTCAAGAAAATGTTCTTGTCTATATGAGATCATCTTCGACATTGATTTTCGATATGCAACTTTCCATACGAGATGAATTCATCGTGAAAGTATCAGATTTATCCAGTGTCACCTATTCGGATCTACGAATATTGGAAATTGTGTTAAGCGAACAAGTAAACATTATTTTTATATGAATATCTAGCGATCAGAGATACGAGACTATCTGAAAAGTTTCACAATGAACGAATTTCCTATGCAAAGTTGAAATGCTGAAAGTGGATTTTGAAGATGATCTAATGAAGATGATAACATTTTGTTGAAAAACTCATTCAATAGACCATAACTCTGAAAGAAAGAACCGGGAACATAGATCTTTTTTAGACTGTGTCTAATATCATTAGACTTCTTCTAATGGAATAAATCTCATCTCAAAAGTGATTTCTAATCTAAAATAGTTGAAACTACGAAAAGTGGAAAAAGATTAAAAAATGTAACTGAGATAGTCTTGCTCAATTCTAGGAGAATCTTTTGGGTTCACATGACTTTATTGTAAATTGAGAGTTTCATTTTAGGCAATGGCAAAACCATTGATGAAAAATGAAAGAAAAATACCTTTGATCTAAGCTCCAACAACATAACCAGTCAAAATAATAACACTCAAACGTCGACAATATATTAAACCTAAAAAATTTACTGAATATTCATGTATTGATTCGACTGTTTATTCTCAATTAATCAAACTCTATTCTAAGTTCAATAAAACTGTTAAAAATTTGTGTATTCAATATTCAACGATGACTAAAAGTCATTATTTTGTTGAAATATGTCTAAAATATTGTTCATTATGTAATATGACGTTTGTATGTGATCGATATAAATTATGTCGAAATAATGGTAAATGTATTTTAAAAATGAATACGGTACATATCAATGTATATGTTCATCATAAAAACTCTTTTACGGTACGTTATGTGCAAAAACACTGATGTTTCCATACATAAATTCAGTCAATGTCGTTTTTTCCCTATGAGAACAAGACTAACTTTCGCTTTCAAATACATCGTTAGAAAAGGTATTAAATGTTGTTGAGTGTGAATGTGTATATTCTCTTTGCCAATCAGCAGACATACTCCAACTTGCATCGACATACCCATACAGACACCCCAAATAGCAAGGATTTATATGGTATATAAGATGTAACAAGAACATATGAGGTATTGCAATATTTTGGATATAATCTACTCGGACGTATGTATTTATTTCTGTTATGCTTTAAGTTTATATTTGAAATTAATTAGTCCACCACAATTCAGCATATTTTTGTTTATGATTAAACTAACTTGTTTACCACAAATACGATGCATAACATTCATCTGTACTTAACTTCTATCAAGATATTTCATCCATTGATCTTCGTCTTTATCTACATTATCTGTTGTGTGTTTTAATGATTCATTTGTTGTTATTGCTTCTCTTTCACGAAAAAATGTTAATTTATTACTATGTTGTAAATTTTTAATGACATTTGTTGGATCTTTTGCTTAAATCCGTTATAAACATTTAATAAACCAATTATATTTTGTTAATTTTACTATTTATTCTGCAATTAAATATTCAAGTTCTTCCCTAGCAAGTAGTTCTTGAAATTGTAATGATTTACAAATCTAAAAAACAAACAATAATCTAACATACTAATCGAAGAAAAACAAAAGCTGCTAGCGCAATTTCTGTCGGATTCAAATTTGAAAGATGGCACTGCTGCCGTTGCTAATTCCAGAGTGATTGTTATATTCTATCTATTTCGAGATATAATTCCTCCCCATCTTTCTATTTAATCCTTCGGAAATGTAATAAGGAGCTATTTCATAAATTATAGCGAGATGTTACTGATTTATGGTCTTTAATTGTATTTCAACAAATCTGACACGAGCTCTGAAGGAGGAAAGCTTCACATTTTTATGCCTACATTTCAAAACTCCTTTTAGATCATGTTTCACAAAACTTCAGTGCAAGTAGGAGTATGGTTTAGGTCCGAGCCTAAAATACGTTGAATAAATCAGTTGTGGGCTCAAAAGTGTTGCACCCAACGGACTTGTACTATTGCAGAACTATTGATTTTGTTGTGTTTTAATGCAAAGATACTGATCGATAGTATGTGAAATAATCTTTTATAAAGAAAAGAGTGACTAAGTGTTATTTATTTAAAAATCAAAAAAGAGAAGAAAATAATGATTTACAAAAAAAAAAAACAACAAAATTAATAAATCCAATCAAGAATTGATTATTTAGTTAAAAGGTAATCCAGAACACGCACCACAAACATGCCACGACCAAAGTGTCATCTTAATCATACTTTTACATAATTATCCTTTGAAACAAGTAGGAATGATTACAGGAAGAATTTTCGTTATGACTAAGAAGCTGGAATTGTTATACAAAGAAAAAGACGACTGTATCTCAGGTTGATAATTTTCATATAAATATTTTTTTTCACAGATTAGTAAACATAGATGAGAAATAGTATTGCATGCTATTGCTACATCGTGAGTGTTCCAAAGAATTAGTTTAGATATGAATCATTTAATTCAGCAAAGAAGTTCGAGGGATAGTATGCATATGTTTTTCGTTGATCAATTGTTGGGTTAATTGCATTGCTGTTAATACTTTATTCAACACGATGATGTGTTGATCGTGAATTTTGGAGAAGGCACTCGAGCGAAAATTTTAAGAGTTAGTTGTTAATTTATTGGTGTCAATGCCTCGAAAAAGATAGGCTTTCCAATATTGTAAGGCTTCTCGCTATTTGCATCTCTAAACTTCAAACTCATTAGTAGCTGTGATGAACAATTTCATCTGACTTGTTGTACAATATCGAAATCTTTTTAATTCCTATCAATATTTGGATAAAGTGTTGAATAGTGCAGCATTTGACAACAATGAAGGAAGATGCTGTAAATGTCAGTCACATTTATTATTCATAGTTCATAACCGATTTTTTTTTCAATGTTTTTTCATTTATCTACATGACACTTCATGGATGATACTACGTAGAAGTAACTACAACAATTACAGTTTTGACGACAACTCGAATAATAACTAGATCAACCACAGTAACAATGACGATAGAAACCACTTCAACAACATCAATGCGTAGGTTAACAACGACCACCCAAGAAACAATTGAGCGAGATAAGAAAGACTGTTCCTATAGCTTCGAACTCTGACACTATACACGTAGTCATGCTAATGATTGAATATAAACTCGAATACATGAAGTCTTTTATTGAGTATATAAGACTTGTGAACAATTTTTTATACACTTTAAAACGTTCTTCTTTGTGAAAATCTATACATAGCTGCATTTTCAGATTATTTTTTAGGTCTTTTTCGGGCTATAGTAGAAGAAATAAAGTTTCATACGACCAAGTAGAATGTTTCTCGGATTATGAGAGAGTACTTTTTCCTTAGAAAAAAAAAACAACTGCTTATTTTATTTTTATGATGGACTGTATGCAAATATATGTTCACTGCATATTTCCATTAAAAATTATAAATACGAATTTGAACAAATGCACCAGTATTGTTCAGAATAACAGATAGTGAAAGAAAAGATAGTCCAGTGTACAGGTGACTATGCTTTTTCGAAATGTAGCAAAATTAATATGAAAAATTCAGCGTCAAAATTATGAAATAGAGTAAGTTCTAAAACCTATCTTTGGAACCGTACTTTTCTAGTATAGATAATTATCATCTTTTTTTATATGGTACTAGCATGCTATGCACACTAACTTTCGAGGATTTTGTTATTCTTACCGAACATCATGATAATGTACCTATTCAAAGTGTCATCTCTTGAAATTGTTTGACGTATTCAAACATAAGTCAATGTAGATTTTATGGTATCCGAAAATGCAAATATCAAAAGTGTACCCTATAATCTTCTTTTGAGGTGCTGAGAAAGTTTCATTTTTCTTTGACCAATTGATTGTCAAGAATAGATCATTGATTGTTCGTGTCCTTGTTGCATCTAAATAGTCAAATCAATTGGATTTTGTGGAATCATATGAATTGAGAATTCTAGAAGGAAAAGAAATAATGAGACGCTTCACAATCTTGTCAAAATCTTATATTAGATACAAAAAAGAAGATTTGCAGAGAAAAATTTGTTGACTAGACGTCAAGAAGCAAGAAAGATCTTTTCGATAACTATTTCTGATCTTGTTTGGCCTGTTTCGCTGTTGAACATAAGCTCCATCTTTTTTTAAATTTTATTATGAGATAGAATACAATCACTGAAGGAATCATACCATCAGTGAGAGTCTCACTTATTAGAATCAAAAATCAACAAAGATTTATTTCCGTAGTCTTTAACTTTCTGGAATAGAAGTATTTTCTTCAATGACATTCTAGATATAGAATTCACTTTTAATATCATTTGATTTTTTTTGTTTAACTAGCCACTACAGTGTTTGGGCA